TTCCCAGTTTCCATCACAGAAGAATACATTTTTTAAACTACACATGCGCGGTATCATTCGATTTCTGTTACATCCAAAAACATAGGTATAGATAGTACAAATCGTACAAACAGTATAATCCACTCATCATCCTCATCCGTAATTACTATTCAAAAATGAAAACCAGCCAGCCAACTAACCACCTTCCTTAATGCAATGCAATACAAATGCGAAAAATAAAATCGGACCCCCATCATCCCTCATTAGAATGCCGTTATATATACAACCATCCAGAAACCCACCCCAAGATCCGAAATTTTGTCCCTCTTTTCGCGATAATTTTTTTTACCCCTTGTACGTATAGTATATTTCCTCCGCACATCACATTACCAGTATATTATGCAAAAACAACAAATGCAGCTGCAGCGACAGCAACAATGATACTCGTGAATCTGTTTCCTCCCAGGGCTGCCGCATCAGAAGAAGCAGAAACTTCTCCGACGATGTACGCAGGATCGTAGACCACATCGCTAGTATCCAGCGTACCGTTCCAACAGTATCTGTCGAAACAAGCCGTACATGCGTCGGGAACGGTAGTGTTGGTCTTGTACAGCGAGCGGGAGATAACTGCGCAGGCAACGCAGGTTGGCCACTCGGGATCGATGGTGGAGTTACCCATGGTAGCGACGTTGTAGCCGTTTTCAATGATGAGATTGCGTTCGGTGGCGTTGTAGGAGGGGTCGAAAGTCGAGACGTTGGATTGGTAGATGTAGGGAGCGTTAGGGATGTAGATGACTAGGGGTGTTGGGCCAGTGGAATTGGAAGGATCGCAACCGAAGAAACTGGGGCGTTTGTTGAGTCCCAGGTTGACGAATGTGTTTTGGCCTGGAATCGAGGGGAATGCGGTTCCGTTTGCGATGGTTGCGTTTTGGGAACGCTCGTGGGTTGCGACAAGGGATGTTCCGTTGGGCCAGAAGTAGGTGGTGTCGGCGGATGAATCGATTGCGAAGATTACATCTACTTCACGGATAGGTTGGATGAGAGGATAAAGAGGGATGTTTTGACCATCCTCACCACCATCAACCAAATCTAATTGAGTAGTTTGGGCATTGCGGTTGGTTTCGTTGTTGAATGCGTAAAAGGGGTTAGGCTGATATTGCGCAATATCATTGTTGATGAATCCGATCTTGTCGAGAATGGCGGTAAACGCGTCGGTGACAATAGTTGGAAGCGAACTTTCATTGGCTTGAATCAAAAATTGGTTGAAGAGTGAGGACGAAGTACCCATCACGTAGCCGACTTGATCAAAACCACGAACACATTGTTGACCGTCAGGGATGGAACCAGCGGTGAAATTTGATCCAATATAACGAAGGGGTGCGAACCCATATGTCGTAGCATCCCATGAACCAAGCTCAAACGGATTGAATTCGTAGACTGTCGAGTTTAGTGAGATGATCTCGGTGTATGGCGAACGACCATCAGCGACGAGGAAAGGCATAGGAGTTTCGCCATTTGCGAAGTTTTCCTGTAGTGCAATTGATGAAAATGTATAAGCTGGTCCACCATCTGTAGCATTAACCAATTGGAACGATAGCGCGCGTCCCCAATAATCGGTGACCGAAGTATTAAAATTGAGAGGAGCATCCGCTTTTCCAGAAACCTCGTTCTTAATGGTACTATAGTAATCAGCAGTACTTAAGATCTGAATATGATCGTCGTTAGGTCCTTCGAAGATCGAGTTTTGGAAGTTCCACACATCAGAACTATCCCGTAAAGTTTCGACACTACTAAAGTTGTTGGTGTAGATTGATCCTACCAACCATCCACCACCAGAAAGACCTGCAAGATAGGTTGTAGCTTGTAAAAGACCTCCAATTTGTCCCGTGTTTGTCGAATTGGCTGTTCGATCATCGGCGGCAGCGACGAACCCAGCACCATTCAACATTGCACGGTAACCTCCTCCAGAAATTGCTATACCGATGTTCGGTAAGGTAGATGCATTGCCGGAGACCCTGTTTATGTAGGCAGTTGCATCGAATCCAGAAATGTTCATCCTTTCGAGGAAGGTTATCATTGGTTGAATGGTATTATTTCTTCGTAGTTCGAGCCACGATGTTTCATTGGCAGATAATTCACTGGCTTTTCTGACTGTTGGTCTCGTATCAGGACAATCTACTGCTCCTGGTGTGTAGCTTCCTGTTGGTGAATCCGGTAATGCACGCTTGATAGCATACATCGGTGCAGCTAACACTTCAGCAGCGATAATTTCGGGAGATGCATCTCGAGGTAAAACCAATTGACGAGCTGTGAATGGGTTAATAAGCTTGATACTAGAAGTTTCTTGAAGTAATAATTACCATCACATATTGAAGACAATGCAACCGAAGCAACTATAGCTCCGAAGGCTTTCATATTGACTCGATTGTCTTGTATTACCTGTAAATAGGTAGGTAGGTAGAATATTTAAGAGAAAGCAAAGATGAGAGAGAAATTTAAGAGAAGATATAATATAGTTAAAAAATTAGATGTAAACCTTTCTCTCTCTCGCCTCTCGTTCTCTCCCTCTTTCCCGTACTTGTTGGAAAAGATGATGTTTTGAATCAAAGGGCTCAAACGGGAACGGCAAAGCTAAAGAACGAGGCTCGGCCAGCTTATATGTTCGTATGACGCAGGTCCACGCTTTTTTCGGCCTAAACGTTAGTACGGGAGATCTACAGGGAGTCAAAGACGACTAATGTACTCAAATTTCCGACTAATTGGTAACTTCTGTTTTGATTCGTTCAGAGAATTTGAGAAAAGAAAAGTAAATTGGGTGAAGAAATCCTTTTGAGACGAGATAGGTGCAAGGTAGTTGCTAGTCAAGCAGCTAGGTAGTCAAGTAGCTAGGGTACCGGTAATATAAAAGAAATCATTAGTTCTTATATTGCTTGACTAAATTCGTTCTGATGAGACCTCAGCCTTAACCTTGCGAGACAATGTAGCAAAATTCTCGCTGATATTATATTAGACGCATGTATGTATTATTGTATTAGCCGTGTGGTGAATGTACAGCTGTACCGGTCCACTAATGTATGTACCTTTCACAGCCTTGTATGAGAATAGAACTAAGAAAGTGCTGATTATGTGGGGTAAGAAGATGTAAGAAACTGCGGTGAATTTCAAATTGTTTACCGAGGACAGGTGTTGAGTAGGTACTCGAGTGTTGCTAATTCGGTTCTTGATGACGGTAATGATGATAATGATTCTTCCGGCTATTTTTCGCGTGTCTTGTGTATGTAGGGGGGAAAGGAGGGGAAAAGGGACAGCAAGGTAAGACAGATCTCCTCTCCTGTCTTTGTGTACTCCGTAAGTAGGTGTGGAATGCGAGCTATACAAAATGCGAAGTGGTAAGAGCTTCAAACAGGAAAATACACATAAATCAAAGAATCAAAAATAAAAGGCCAGCCACTATGTGTTTTGCCTTGCTGCGCGGATAATCGGCTTCTCCCGCTCTAGTGCCGCTATTCGGATTAGTTCGACAAGTCCGCTTTAACAATAGTCTAAACTCTCTTTATTCAGCAAGCTCGGCGCTTCGGTTGGCAAAATCTCCTTTGGCCTTTGAAGAGGATAGATGAAATAAAGAATACCGCTCACTCATCAGTCAGGTACCTAGTAGTTACCTCGGAAGGAGTATGAGGTCTGCGGAGTAAGCATATCTATGCGAATCCTCCATCCACAAGGCGCAGTCGTAATTCCAAACAAAAGCAAGCTGAGATCAATTAGGTCAAAGCCAAGTCTTAAGGGGAAAATGAGACCTGGAATGACAAACTAACCCCGTTCTGTCGAAAATCCCTACAAAGGGTTCCCCAGTTTAAGAGTAGATATGGTATTTGTGCAGACTAAAAACCTTATACACACTATCGTATCGTATCGGTCGTATTGGTCGTATTGATGCTCTGTTTTGAGTTATGAGTTAGGGATTGTATCGATCGTATGGACGCTCTGTTTTGAGTTTGGCGACGAGGATGTTGCTGTTTGAATTGAGTGGGGTCGATAGGTTAGAAGTTCCATCCGGAATGTTCGGTAAAGTTAAAAGAAGCCAAGTTATAATATCAAACGAAGCTGCCAATGGAAACCAACTATATCAATGCCTCATCTCGCAATATCATATACGCATTACTGCAAGGACGCAGCCATTACTATTGTGGCGGCTGCTCTCATGCGCGCGCTTCTTCTGTGCTCAATTCGGTTTGTCGAGTCTCTTGATAGGTGTTGGTGGAGTTTATCATCACATCACATTCTTGGTCAGTGATTTGGCCAGCGATTCGGTCAGCGTTGTCTTACAAACACACACCGCAGAACTTCGATTCGGATATGATAATTACAGATGCTTATTCTCCTCATTCTAATGTCCTCGTATATGCTGTACAATGCAAAGAGTTCTACACAGCCTTAGCACTGCGTAAACTTCAAATCAAGTGACTTTTTCTGAATAATCATCATACACAAGCCACCACAAGTCACGACCATGACGAAAACATACCTTGGTATTCTTATTGGTTCCTATCCGTACTGGGATTTGAAACCTTCAGGTTTCAAAAATATTACATTTCGCACAATGATGTTAACGGTAGTTGATTCCGTGTTTCTATCAGCGCCATTGTCAAGTCAGCGTCACCATAGATCTATAAAACGTGATTGTTGTAGTACATTTTTATCATCAATGATCGCTAGTGCAGTATTCTATCTATGCGGAGAGAGATGAGATAAAGTTCTTAACATTTGTCTTTACTTTTGCTACATACTCTACAGACTACCTCGAGACCGCTTGCTGTTCAGCAATTAGCAATTAGTAGTTGTCAGTTGCTGGAATCGATATTTAATAATTCATCATCAAAAATCAAGACTGTATAAGCCAGTATTTCAAACTTTGGTGACCTTCCCCAGTTCGTTCACATACATTGGATTCGTATGGCAATGTACACAGACACATTATACATCATATCAATAGCTATCACCTTCATCACTTTTGCCCAGTCCTATACACTATCCAGTCCGGGCATCCCTCTCATCAGACCAACAAAAATTCTCATGTCGACACCTTGGAAAGCCCAGTCATCCACGCCGACCATAATTGCAGGCATGTCCAAGTACGTCTGATCTTGTGGGGAAAAAACTAGATACTGGCAGCATATTAGTATTCTGTTCACCATCGATCGTTGTATTTAGGTTGGTGTCTGACTGCTTGCGAACAACCTGCTAACGTGTTGGATTCCTGCTCCATGCCCTGCAGATGATTAACTGGTTGCTGATTCCCCGCCCCAGGTGGTGATGTGTGGGAAAGATGTGGGCAGGTGTTACTAGACGAAACAAGCGGCAAAGTCGTACGTGTAGATTCACCTTGGAAAGTCTGAAGTCTTGACTGCTCTCGAGCAAAGAAATTTTGATGAACAATATTAACGATTCCGAGGTGTCGAATATGCATACAAAATTTCCCGCCTTCCTTGTCCACATTCTCCTGGGTGTTGTTTCGTCGTTTTTTACATCTCAAATCATATAAATTTTCCCTCGGTTGCCTCCGCCTCGACATCAAGTAAGTGTCGGATCACTTCGGCGCTCTTTTCAGTCACTATCTTCTTGCAAAATTTACTTGTCACGCCATTGTAAATATCTCCGATGATATCCATTTTTTCCAGGGCTTGATCAAGTAGTGCCCGGTCGTTCAAGCGATGATGGGCTAGAAAATTGATCTTTGGTGAATTATGATATTGATTATGTGCATTGAGATGCGAAAGAAGAAGCACCATTGACGCTAATAGTGCAAAGAAGTCTACGGGTCGTGAGCAAGATGAGAAAAGACAAAAGCTTCGACGAGCAATAAAGCGGATTAATATCTCCCGGCGGGAGTTCACACAAGTCATCTTGGAGCACTCCTGTTCGTCAATACTGTTGCCTTTGTCCACTATATATGGTAGATGGAGCTGATTTAAGAGGCCATAATAATATATCTGGGCTGACAGACGAATCGCTTCCAGTAGGTTCGCTGATGACCCCGGTGTAAGATTGTGAAAACTCAATGGACGCCAGAAATTTGCCGGCATACTTTTAGAACCCTCAATGATTCCGAGTCAACAGACTGGGTGGTTGTGAATGTGATCTCCCTTGGATCAGCGATTTCGCGAGGAATGCGAATGAGGTGAAATAAAATAAATTGCATACAGTCAAAGTTCATCTATATTCTTGTGCAAAACTACACGTATCCATCTTGTAAATTCAGCGGATGGTCTGTTAATCAATGAGTGTGAACAAGTTGTTTTATTCGATAGGTGTAATATCCCGCGGGGAGATCACTTCAATGTCTCGTTTTGAGTCCGGAAGTAATACAGATCAGCTCGAACTCTTAGCTAGAATTCTTTTCATAAATATGTCCGAGTAGGTGATTATTATTCTATGGCCAAAACATTTTTATTCATGAACTTTGATCTCAGGGTACCAATTCAAGATTGATTTTATGTTCTATCATCCCGACCTTTCTAGTTAATATTGCCTCAATATTTATGATTTGGAAGACCATGATATCCTATGATCTCAGTTATAAAGAGAATTTAAACGCACCACCTGAATCCAGAATGGAACAAAATACCCGAAGATCTTTCCGGGTCTTGGTCTAAATTCGTCTCATTGTGTAAGTACTGAAGTTGAGCAACAAAAAATCATTACTCGTCCCAAGTATCACAATCTAGACTATTAAATGCGCATAAGTTCTCTTCACAATCACATCATCCAAGCCAATAAGTATCATATAATCCTTGATATTCCCTATAAACAAACGCTACCTATGAATTACCTAATACAAGTCAGAGTGTTCCCCCTAACTCTAACGGAAAAGATTCTTAAATCCCTCCATTAGCATAGCCCTATTTCTACCCTTCCTCTGCTGTGCTTGCAATAAATCACCAGCTACTTCTTCTCCGCTACTACTACCATCAACCGTCATTGACGAATGCAATACATTCTCCTTTCGGACCTCCTCTCCATGAGCAGCCGTAACAATCGGTAAAGCTAACGAACTCTTCCCCGACGGAGATTTAGAAGCAGAAGAGCGCTTAGAATTCAACGAATCATCCAACGAGCCCGAGCTCTTCTTGCTTCTGAAACTTGCAAGACGCGCCATGATTGGACTGGCAGTTGTAGAATGAGCAGCTCCCGTACCCGCACTACCCTCCTTCTCATCAATAATCACAGCAAGTCGCGAACCATGTCTTCCACCGCCTGCATCTTGGCCTAACGAGTTTTCGTCTTCGGGTAATGGCATACTATCGCTGGAGTTGTGACGAGCTTGACGATTGAGAACCATAGGTCTGAGACTATCCAGCTCGGTGGCCGTGTGATCTTCTGCGCTCTTGTGAAGACTGGCAATGCTACCCGAGCGCTTGGTGATGCTGGAAATGCTTGCGTGGCTAATCTTGCGCATCATAGAGCTTGCGGATGCTCTGACTGTGTGTTCTCTGTGGGGTCGGGAGCCCATGCCAGGGTAAGGGATGATATCGCGGGTCCAGACGTCGGCGAGAAGGGTTTCAAGACGAAAGCGCTCTGTGCGGGAAGGGGCGAGGATCGTGGGGCGATGCGGACCGGCTAGGGATTGGGATCTGTTGATCGAGAGCTGGGAAGCGGAGCTTGAAAGAGAAGGTTCGACTGTGGCACTAGTGTTCCTAACGATAACGCTACGAGGAATGGTGGTTTGACCTTTCATTGTTGTTGCTCTATGAATTGAGTTGCGTCGAGCAACAGTACCTGTTGTAGAATCGATTAGCCAAAAGAGCAGAAAATTACTAGAAGTATGTGAGACCCACCTGGCTTTCCATAGACCGTTCCCATCGGCTTGATATCAAGTGACAATGATGCAGTCATTTCTTGCTGAACAGTACTATTGCATTGTTTGCCAGAACGATCAATCAGACGGCTCTTCCACTCCAACTCTTCCTTTGCTGAGCATGCGCTGACTATAATTTCAAAGAGTTGAGAGATGTGCTCAAATACAATCTTCCAGGAGTGGGGCGCCGTGTGACATTGTAAGCCTAGGTATCTCATGTCAGAAACTATGTGCAGAGTAATGGAGCTCGGAGAAATTAAGCAAGAAGAGTTGGTAATACCTTTACTGTTATCAACATCCTCTACAGTGAGCTCACTAATTGGAATGCAAGCTTGAATGGCATAAATCTCATCTTGCGTTCCAGAAGGCTGGGCAAGAACGAAGAATTTTTCATACAAGAGAGCTATGAGGTACTGTCCGGTGATATTACGACCTGCAACAGTGACTTGCGTCTGCCAACAAGCATGAAGCACACCGCACAGATGGTTCTGCTCAAGCATACGGACCTTATCACGAGATCTACTTTCCGGCTAGGTAATGTCAGTAGTAGAAGGCAGTTGATTGAAATTCGGAGACTTGCCTGGCTTGTAAAAAGTAGACGATCCTGCAATAGCCATGTTCTTGACATAGCAGTTGCCTTTTGATGATTACCTGCAGCAGAGTTCATTGTCTTGTGAACTTCTTTGAGTCGAAAAAGCGCAGTCTCAACGGTGGTTGAGGATTCTGGGCAATCGCAGACTGGGCTTTGTTCTAGGAGACGACCAAACAAAACTTCGTATCTAGCAATACGATGGATAGGCTTTGAACACTGTCAGCATCCGTAAATTGAAACAAAATCTTCCCCTTACCTTAATGAAGTAATCATCAAAGTGTCTTCCTTTGCGGGAGCCATTCTCTCGATTGTCAGTAGAGATGATCATTTCCTCTGTTGATCGGATTGCTTGATTGAAATCTCTCCATTCATCCGTAGTTCTGTATGATGTATGAATCTGCTTCATAACCTCGCTATGCATGATGCCATAAGATTCATACAAGAACAATCCTGGGATCTGCTTATAACGTGTTAGTATTTGTGTCATGAAACAGAGTATGATTTCCGAACCTTTCCACAAAAGACCTTTGCAATCTCCCCCGCAACCTTTGGATCACCAATGTGTCGACCACGGCTTTCGGTAGAATTCGAAGCAGGTGCTTCTCCTAGACTTTGCCATCTCTTGTGTCCCTTGATTGGCGGGTGGTTAGGTGGATTAACCACTCCTACCCCAGAAGACTTATTTGTATTGGCCACAACTGTAACGAGTTCATTATAGAGCTCGTTATTGTGGCTCCAGATATCCTTGAGAGTAATGACAATGGACTTGCGTAAGCTTTGCGAGAGAATAGGGATGGCGATTAGGAGACCATCAAAAACCTAGGTAAGAATCAGTAAAAGAGTGAAGTGGAATGGATTTGTTGCAGCATACGCGTATAAGAGCTTGAACATCATCAAGGTAGGCTTTCTCAGTGGATAGAATCTCCTCAATGACGCCTTGACGTTGTTCCATGCGCTTAATCACCTCCTTGTCGAGAATAAATGCTCGTGATAAGCAATTTCCGTTATCTTCAGAAGCTCTTCCCTATTGAATGATATTAGTCATGTACCTCTATGAGTTGAAGATCGGAAGAAGATTACTTACAGCATAGGATGCTCTACTGCTGTAGTCAGTTCGTTGATGGCGAGAGGACATGCCCGTTCTTGAACGCGGTGCAATACTGAAGCTTGCAAGACTAGTTCCAACACTCTTCATGTTATTCACAAACCCATAGGAGCTGCCCGATAGGGACTTTCTGTGGCCGGGTCTCTGTGAGACGATAGGTGATTCAAATAAGCCTCCTTCAATTCTGTTTCTAGGCATGTCACAGCTGGTTGTCTTCCTATGTCCACCTCGTCGCTTGATGGTGAGTAGAAATTTTTCAAAGGGATTTGTTTGATTAGTAACTACTGGCTCCGGTTCCATTGGAATTGGACTGTCTAAAGAGAATCTAGCGTGACGAGCGGCTTTCTCATCTAGATCATGAATGACTTGTAATCCAACTTCAGCCAGGTTGCGCATGGTGCTAGAGACTCTGCTTCCCAGACTACTACTCGTCGAAGATTTGTCATGGCGCCTGGTGACAGTCATTGCTGCAATATGGTCATCTGTATATTGATCGTCTGTGCCATCGAAAAATTGAGCGCGAGCAGCAGCTTTCTCATCTAAATCATTGACCACCTGTAGTCCTTTGGCAGCCAAATCTCGCATTGTATTAGAGATTTTGTTTCCGAGGCTGTTATCTATTGCAGATTTCTCCCGGTCGGCAGAGACTGGCTCTGCAGTGAAGGATTCTCCCACACGTTCATTTTCGACAGCTGAGTGACTGATTTCGGAATTGATGTCAAAGCTGCCACTGGTTGCAGGATTCTCTTGGTGGTTGATGACTTGCATTGTAGTAGAATCGTCTATAAATTGATTCATGGTAGGTGCGGGATAAACTTCAGAATTGTCATTAAACTGATCATTAGTAGCGGACTGTCTTGGGTGATTCAAGGTATCTGGTTCCATTTTGATAAGCTCTTGGGGATTGATCGCTAGATCGCCAACGAGATGAACAGTATCAGCGGGTTCAGAGGCTCTTTCTCTGTTCCACATTAACTTCTTTATTCGGACAGGATCTTCGATAGGATCTTCGATAGGACTTTCAATCGGTACACCTTCTTCGTTGTAGTAGTTGATGGTATATTTGGTGTCAAAGGTGATGCAATTTTCTGGACAACGCCTTGCTTCGTTGACGCTTTTGGAGGGGGGATCAGCTGTACTATTTGACCACCACTTTTGTCCAAGAGCTGGAACCTCCTCACCAAATTTATCTTTGATGCACTGTGAGGTACCAATACTTGTAGATCCGCGAAGAGGTATGATTTTCTTGGTCAAGGTATCAACTTCTTTGATAACGGAAGCGGATTCGATTGATGCATCAAGAGCTTTGTCTTTCTGGAAAGAAGTTTTCATAATATTTCTTAAAGAGAAGAGTAAAATTGAATCAAAATTGAATCAAAAAGAAGCAAAAGCAAAGGGAGCAAGTGGAGCAAAAATGTAGATACAAAATCGTTCCAATGGACCAAGAAGGGTTTGCCAATGTAAAGTTGTGAAGGAAAAGAAGATCAACTGAAGAAATCAATTCTGATATTCCAATAAAATGGAGAGAAAGAGCAACTCTTTGGGTATAAGTCAAGTTGGGAAGGTTCGAAGTGTGTTTGTCCTGGTGGAAATATACGCGAAGGGGTAATCTCAAATGGAAGTTGAGTCTGCAAGAAACAAAGAGCTGACCACAACAACCCATCGGCCGAGTGATACAATACAAAACAAAATTTAGAATCAAAGCATAAACATAAACAATGGTCTACTGCTAAACTTTCATGTTCAGTTTTGTCGCAAAATTAACAATTACTAATTAGGGGAGGTGTCACTTTATCATGAGGTTTTGTATAGTCAAAATCACAACTCAAACAAGAGATATGCCTATAACTGCCACAAACATTATTTGTAAGTTTTTATCTACTCTGTCCATGTAACGAAGTTGGGTATTTGAAAAGTGGAGTAAGGAGCTTGACGATATAGATATATTCGGACTTTACTCTCCCTCACCTACCAGCACGGAATAGCTTCTCTGAAATGATACAGCTAACCCCATGTTGCTCTCTCGATCTTACTATTTGGATGCGCAGACTTGTCTATAATCATACAAAATCGTCCCCTAGCTTGGACTAACTGTATAAAAGTCATTCACCTGATCTCCTGGGTTGACGCCTGCCGAATCCCAGACACCTCTTTTCAAGTCTTGATTTACTAACCGGAAGAGATAGAAAACTGCAGAGGAGTTAACGAAGGTCATCAGCTATCACAGCGATCCACTCGCTGGCTCGCAGTCACTTATTTGTGTTGGTGGTTCATAAATGATAAGCGCTTGCTGCGCGTTACCTTGCATCCCCTTATGCCTGAAGAATGGAACAACACTTAAGTCACACAAATCAACGTATGTATCAATTATTAAATCCGGTTTCTTGTTGTGAGTCACAAATAACAACGCCGGGTATGTATCTGCGGCGAAGCTTCGCGATGTGGTTTGCACAGAGGGTTGTCACAAGCTTTTCATCCACATATACCAATCTCACAAGGGTTAGATATGCAGAAGCTAAATATCGCACTGCTCCTCGAAAATGAAGCATAAACTCTTGCACATAAGATCCATGTACAACAAATAAGATTGAGGATATCAAAAGAGCTCTCTCTTCATGTTGTCTATCGCGATTCCTATCTAATCACCATGCCAATCTGTCATCTTTCTTATAAAACTTTCGCTGCAACACTCGCACGCCGTCACTAGTACATCACCAGACAATCCTAACAACTTTTCCAAATCCGCTACAAAGCTAGAAGATAAATTGACTGAGCAGAGGGAATTGTGAGAGAAGGAATATGCGCCCCTTATAAAGGTAAAGGTTTACGTAAATACCAATGATTTTGAGGGACATAATGAATTGCTTTACTCCGGCGATATCATTACTCGGATGTTGCGATAGTATTCCACGGTATCAAGGTGATCCATGACTGCTTTGATTCTCAAATGCTGGCACTAACTATCATGCTAGAGGGAAGCACTAATTCTCGTAGGTGTGCAAGTTCCACAGTGATACGAAGATGAATTACTATTCTTTTGGCTTCTTGACCTAGCGATGCGTGGAACACCCATATACCATGGCTGAATGAACGGGTAAGGATGACAGGGGAAGAAAGGCATGTAGAGGCATGATATGACTCCAGACTGTCATGATGGATACACTTTTCGTCCCCAATGTACTGTGACTTAAGTCTGGCATTGCAAACTTCCCATTCCCCCTTCATTACAAGAAAACTCCAACTAGCAAATTGCCAACTTTGTGTCCATGGTGCATGTTATCAGTATATAACACATTTGGAAGGAAGAAGATGTCTTATGTATTTATCTTCACACCGTTCTGTCTAATAAGTACACGTACACAACCAAATCACACTTGTGATTCAACAGCCACATGAAGATGCTCAGGAACTGGACTTGGTCGGCTGGAGTGAATGCAGGATTGTGGGACGAGAGATTAGTCATCGCGGAGCTCTACTTTGGTTTACCCCGCAATTTTTACATAAGCTCAATGCATTGCGTCTATCATCGCAGCCTGGTCTAACATAATCCACAAGGCTGAATGAATGATCTCACTGTCTTAGAGAATATCAAGCGGCAGCACAACGTGAGATGGGATTACCTTTAAACATGGAAAATCTACATGCCCCTACGATTCCCTCTGGTCCTACATCTGGACCAGGAGCCACAAATGGAATGCAAACTAATGGCCTAACATTTTCCCAACTTCAGGCTAAGAAAGACAACATAGAAGCTGAAATCAAAGCTCTGAGTGGTGTTCTTGACTCGGCAGGTTATACTTCAAATCATATGAGCTTCTGCTAATATGTATTAGCATGGTGTGGACATGAATACAAGACTTTTGACTCCTGATGGTTTCCCTAGAGCAGATTTAGACGTTGCACAAAGTAAGCATTCTAGTTTCATAAAAGTATGTATGTTCTAGGCTAATTTCTTCCCTATAGTTAGAACTACTAGATCACGGATAATTTATCTCAAAAACGACCACAAAGCTCTTATGAGCGTCATTGAGAAGCATATCCACGAACATTTTGCGAGACTTGCCGAAAACCCAAACACAGAGGAGCCCGTTGTCGACGAAGTTCAGGCTAGTAGGATCGTACCTTCTTTCGATGAGCCAGCACCTTTGGATCTACCGTTTGCAAAGGTCAATAGTGTTGCAGCGGGAAGCCCTGCGGACGATGCTGGTCTAAAAGCTGGTGACACAATCAGAAATTTTGGTTATGTCAATCATGCGAACCATGATGGCTTGAAAAGGGTGGGAGAATGTGTACAAGGAAATGAGGGCGTATGTGTTCTATATCATGACTAGATGTTCGAAAGTCTTACTAATTTACACTTTTACAATAGCGCGAGGTTATGGTAAAGGTTTCAAGAGACTTGGGACGCCAAGAGCTACAATTAAGTTTGACACCACGAAGAAACTGGGGAGGCAGAGGGCTTTTGGGCTGTCATATTCTGCCATTGTAGATTAAAATTGACTACTTTTAACATATTGTGGCATCTGCTATTCGAGCGTAGGAGTTTACATGGCGTTTGGGTTCCGGTGGAATAGTTTGGCCCAATTTTTTCCATGCCAACACATAAGGTTGATTTGGGCATCGTTGGATTCAACACATGTTAGTAGGTACCAGCAACACTTTCTGTGTATCAAGGTCAAGCTAGATAGCCTGTATAGAAACGACGAGATGATCTTACATCTGACAACTATGGCGGTTGACCAGAAGCTTCACAGTAGCTTCCGGAAGATACTGTGATGGAATGTATACTTGTTGCTATCTTGATACCTAGTAGGTAGTTGTGCGTACAAGTAAACAAAGCCAAACAATGAAATGAAACTTTTGATATCATCTACCTACCAGGTAGGCTCGTAAGTACACACAAATACTGCCTAAATCCGAAACAAAACAATGTAATGTGATAATTCACAAACTGCATTCATGCATTCAAAAATTTCATTCCACTTAATTCCACAGTTCCAAGATTTTGAAATTGGTTGACAGGTCAATGAATCCAATGAATGACAGAATAATAACGTGACTTCTACCAAAAATCCATTTTTCGCTTACATAAAGTTCGCCCACCGCTTTCTTCTCACTAAAGTTTTGGTCTTGTAGCAATCAAAACATTCTCACATCCTTGGAGACCAAATCATACTCCACCACGTCCACGACGAATTTTCAACGATAACAGGTACCCCTCCTCCTCTACAACTCTTCTAGTCATCAAATTCATTCTCGCATCAACAAATTTTCATTTGCGCTGACCATTTGATCAACAGTATCGACCCGTGCCAGATCTGTTTACCTAAATTTCTACCTATCGAAAGCATCAAGAAATCATGGCGGAAACTTCTGCTGCACCAGGAACACCAACCTTCAAGCTCGTGCTTGTCGGTGATGGAGGAACTGGAAAGGTAAGAAAGTCGAACTTATGGATGATTATATGGCTTCCGTCGTTGTCGAGTTACCAAGTTGGATATCATTGTCGCGAAATTTGCGCCTTCATTCCAACGATAGTGGTGTAGTAGCATCTTGAATCATAGACTAATTATCAAATAGACCACCTTCGTCAAGCGCCATTTGACTGGTGAGTTCGAGAAGAAATATATCGCCACTCTCGGTGTCGAAGTTCACCCCCTTGGATTTACTACCGTATGTTGCGAATTCCCCACCTGGATCCGAGCAAGGTTTACTAACACCCGCAGAACTTGGGAAACATTCAATTCGACGTCTGGGATACTGCTGGACAGGAAAAGTTCGGAGGTCTCCGTGATGGATATTACATCAACGGCCAATGCGGTATCATCATGTTCGATGTTACTTCCCGTATCACATACAAGAACGTTCCTAACTGGCATCGTAAGTTCTTTCAAACTCTCGTGTTGAAATGGTCTCAAAACTAATATTTCGAATAGGTGACTTGGTTCGTGTTTGCGAAAACATTCCTATTGTTCTTACCGGAAACAAGGTCGATGTCAAGGAACGTAAAGTAAAGGCAAAGACCATCACCTTCCACAGAAAGAAGAACCTCCAATACTACGACATTTCGGCCAAATCCAACTACAACTTCGAGAAGCCCTTCTTGTGGTTGGCCCGCAAGCTCGTTGGTAACCCAACTTTGGTACGGGCACAACTATTTCCATAATTCTCAAAGTAATGTGACTAATATGTATCAGGAATTCGTTGCTGCACCAGCATTGGCACCACCAACTGCACAAGTCGACGAGGAGCTCTTGAAGGTTTACCACAAGGAGATGGAAGACGCCGCCGCTATGCCACTTCCAGATGAGGATGACAACGATTTGTAAATCGACCGCAATAATGTCCAGAGGACCTTCGATCAATTAGCAGCATCTTAGATAGTTCTTTTTCTCTCGGTGGTATTTGCATTTCTCCTGTCGATCGGTTTTGCGGATAGAGGCAGATGACGCTCTCTCGTTTACTCGGGGCAGGGCACATTACAGGCCAAGGGGGTATGCTGGGAGGAATGGATTGGGAATTTTACGAGCGACGAACATCTTGAGATAGAATCAATTCTCGAGATATCACTGCCATTGGCAGCTTATGTAGCTAGAGCAAAAAGCCATTAGTTCTTTTGATAGACAACTTTATGAACTCAAGGGCTCGTAAGGCCATATCGGGAAAAAAAGTGGTTAAAATGTGATTGGATATTATGACCAGGAAATTGAATTTTTTTAAGTATCACCTAGCCTCCCAGACATGTATTGTCAGCATATCTCATCATTTGCCAATCTCAAATCCAGATACTTTCTACATCAGCGGTCAGACTTAACTACTAAGCCAGAGAAGGAAGCTCGGATGTCGATTTCTAAGTTCTTATTACTACCTGCCCCTCATGCTTTTTGTTTGCTTGTCATCGGTTTTTGGTACCAGTTCGACCTTGAAGGATATGACGATATACTCTTCGTTGTTTTCGCCAGTCCAATCCCTGTATGAGATGCAGTTCCCAACAGAGATGCTTCTCCGACATGAGAAATACACGAATATTGCATTTAGATACCCCAGCCAACAAACCCCGCACCACTTCTTATCGTGTACAGCATTATACCAGGTTGAGCGAAGGCTAACAAGTTTGTTCAACATAATTGCCCAATGAATAGTTTCCGAGCCGAAGTCTCCCTGTGTTCCAGGTAGCAGCTACCAAAAAAATAACGAAAAAAAGTTTGTATTCATTTGTCTTATCTATAAACCCTATCCTACGCAGTGCTGTTCTAGCAAGATTCCTAGATTATCCTTGAAATACACTCGTCACTCGATCTGCGATATGATGAGACGGCTACTATACCTCGTATTCCGAACTCGATTTAAATGCTTGAAATGTGACGAGGTCTGAATACTGCTCATTCAGTGGAGTTGATGCGGGCGTTTTGCATAGTGATAATGAGCTAAAACACATCAGGAAGGACGTTAAGATCCGCGATGTTAACGTGTTTTCCCATACCTATAAGTACTGTACCCCAAGACTGTTCATAAAAGCATGTTTATGACACTCTCGTTGAATATACTCCTTTGTGTAAACAATGATTTCCCCAATAACGGCAGGATTGGCATTGTTCACAGTGGTGAACGGTGCTAAAATTACTCAAAGGAATGTGCATGCTAGTCTGGCAGGCCGAGGCGTCCCAGCAAATGCAACTGGGGTAAAGACTCTAGTTACACCTCAAAACATAACAATCCGTTACAAGGAGCCCGGGAAAGAAGGCGTGTGTGAAACAACACCTGGTGTGAACTCGTACTCGGGATATATTGACCTTGATGCGTACGTTATTCTTGAAGCCTGACATTTGAAATATTGTGTTCACAAGGTGCTAAACTTTCTTAGCAACTCACACACCTTCTTCTGGTTTTTTGAAGCTCGAAACGATCCTGCAAATGCACCAGTCACTTTATGGCTTAATGGTGGACCAGGTTCCGATTCTATGATTGGTCTCTTTCAAGGCATGTATCATCATGGAACACCCATTGGAAAGTAGCTGACCTTGCCAGAATTGGGGCCTTGTAATGTTACAGCAAACCTCACTACCGAATTGAACCCTTATTCGTTTAGCGAGTATTCGAACTTACTGTTCCTTTCTCAACCTCTAGGCGTTGGCTTTTCGTATGGTTCTGAAGGTGAAGGAAGTTTGAATCCATGTAAGTAGCTCGGCACATCGTTCTTGAAGACGTACTAATTTCGGAAACAGTCACCGGTGTTTATGAAAATTCTTCATTTGCTGGAGCGCAAGGAAGATATCCTATCATCAATGCGACAGCCCTCGACACGACAGATTTGTCGGCTGTAGCCGCTTGGCACGTTCTGTAAGAAACACTTTTTCCTCTGCTGAAGACATAGAAACTGGCTGCATATGCTTCAATTTTTTAGACCTCTCATCTCTGTCATCTTCAGCCTTCTTAACAGTTGCAAGATTTTCATGGTCCTAATGTTTCACAGGCAAGGCTTTCTTGGCGGCTTGCCCCAACTCGACCCAGCTGTCAACCTCACCACGAAAAAGGAATTCAATCTATGGACAGAGAGTTATGGGGGTCACTATGGTCCAGCTTTTTACAAGTACTTCTACGACAGAAACCAGGAAATTGCAAACGGTACTATTGCAGGTATCCAATTAGACTTTAACACCCTTGGTGTTGGTAATGGAATCATCGACGAATATATCCAAGCACCCTTGTAAGTCAGGTCACCACTGTTTGTGTATGCACCGAAGATCTACTAATCATGTAACTGATAGTTATCCCGAATTTGCGGTAAACAACACATATGGCATCAAGGCTTATAACGACACAGGTATTTGACCCGCTATCCAACATTCGTTGGCTATACTGACTACAATAGTCTACAACTTTGCAAAGTTTGCTTTGAATATGGGCAATGGCTGCCTTGACCAAATCGGGTTTTGCAGAGCAACAAATTTGACAACGGCTGCGGAGCAAGCAATTTGCACTGAAGCCGAGAACCTCTGCAGAGACACGGTGGAAGGGGTCTACTATACATATGGAGGGCGGGGAGCCTATGACATCAGACATCCATATGGTTCGTTTGCTCGTTTTCACACACTCCTCAATTTCTTCTCCATACGATTCAAAGATTACATCGACATAAATTTGAGCTAACCACATTTTCAGATGATCCAACTCCACCAACATACTTCATTGATTACCTCAACTTGGCCTCTACACAAAATGCTCTAGGAGTAAACTTAAATTATAGCGAGGACGCCAATAACGAAGTTTACTACGCATTCCAACAGACTGGAGATTTTGTCTATCCCACTTTCTTGGAAGATCTAGAATATTTACTCGCAAACGACGTTCGAGTATCGCTATTTTACGGTGATGCAGATTATATTTGCAATGCAAGTTTATCCCCAGACAATTATTCATTACAACTAAGAACCTGAACTAACACGACTAATTAGTGGTTTGGAGGAGAAGCCATCTCCTTGGCCGCAAACTATACTCACAGTGCTGAGTTTGCAGCAGCAGGATATGCTCCTTTCATCGTCGATGGAACAGAGTATGGAGAAGTGAGACAGTATGGAAACTTCAGTTTCTTGAGAATTTACGAAGCAGGTATGTCATATCTCACTATACTTAAATATGATCAACATTTGATTCACTTACTGACTCTTACAAAAAGGCCATGAAGTACCATACTACCAGCCAGTAGCAAGTTTGGAGTTTTTCAGACGAACGTTACTTGACCTCGACATCGCGGAAGGAAAGGCAAGGGTTGCCAGTAACTATTCAAGCCCGGGTACCGCTTCAGCTACTCACACTGAACCTTTTGTTGCCTTACCATCATCCACATCAGGATCTAGTACAGTAGTAGATCTACCAGATGGATTACCCAACTGGTAAAGATGGAAAAGTATTTCTGTTCAAGAGTGTACTTACCACTAAGAATCCCTGTCCTGGATCGGAAAGTGCATGCAGATCACGTGTTGACGATCAGTCGTTCGTCACGAAGCAAATTTAGATATATTACGAAGACTTTATTGAATTATGAAAATTGAATGTGAAATATTGACGTACCTTCAAGGTTCTGATCAATTGAATTTAAACTGCATGAAACATTTAAATTAATTGGTTATACTTCCTGATGATAACATTATCTGTTCCGGGGTAGATGTGGAAATTCCTTAGATTCTTTAGATTCTCGCTTGCGTCGCGGTTCCCCAAACGCGTCGACCTCAACTCATGCATACAAATCTTCCTCCTCTAGTTCCTCATCCCTCCCAATTCATTTTATCCACACAGGAATTGGAATTTTTGTTATTGAGGGTTTATTTTCTATACCCCATCCTTCAATTACATATTAATTTGGTATGAATCATCATTAATATGGACGACGCGACTCTACCCCCGATGCCTCCACCCCGCTCTCCCTCACCAACTCTCCCTGAGCATATTCCTCAACCTAGTTCTGAATCTCACTCCCGGAGCCTACCCGAAGTAGAAAAGGAACACGCGAATTATTCAGACAACAACGGAGAGTTAGAGCCCGTCAATTCCTCACACGACGTTCCCCTCAAGGAAGAGGCCCCTGATCATGAAGGGAAATTGGAAGGCGGGAAGCAGAAAAGGAAACGAACCAGGTAAGCAGGATTATATCATTATCTGCCCTTTGTAGGCCTTTGCAGGTCATTTTTTTTTGCCATTTTTGGCTCAAAATCGCTGATTCCATTCAAAATGTTATACATTATACGACGTGTGGTGTGCTGATGATTCTGATTTCTGTAGCCCCGAAGACCAAGCATTTCTCGAAGCTCAGTACAAGGAAAACCCCAAACCGAACAAAGCAGCGCGTGCAGAAATCGTCAAAAGTGTTAGATTGAACGAGAAGGAAGTTCAGGTATGGCTACTGCCGAGTTCTATTGTAATGCATTACAAGACGCGTCCCGACTGACCAGTCAATCCCCATAGATATGGTTCCAAAATCGTCGCCAAATCAATCGAAGAAAGTCGCGCCCACTTCTCCCACATGAGATTGCAGCCTTTGGTCTTGGTCTAAATCCCTTGTCTTCTGATCCTGCATCCATAGTCAACTATAGTAGCAGCCAGGAAACAGATGAGCAAGCCGAATTATCACTGCCAAACGAGGCTTTAAGAATACTTGATAATGAGGTCGAATCTCGAATTTCACAGGACGTTGAGCTGCCAGCACCCGAAATGACATCTACAATCAAATCTTCAGAGAAAGTTGCGGAGGGTACTCAAAAGCTTCCGGTAAAGACCGAACCCAGTTCTCTAGTCTCAGAGACACCCAGCAAGGAAACACGCTCTCAATCGATTTCGGAAGCCCTATCTCAATCATTTTCCGCTACACCTGGATATCTGGCCAATCGTTGGAATAATGTGAACCCATTCTCAACCCCTGTTGCTGCTCACAGTGCCATGTTCACAACTCCTACCATGTATGCAATCCTAGTTCCAACTCTTCTATGGCGAATGAGCTACTGACAAAATATCCTCAGTTCTCGACCAATCTTCCCATCGTCTTGCCCTGAAAGAATCACAACAGATACTACTCCATCTGCTACATCTCGAGTGCGTCTTTCAACTGGCCTTGATGGTAGAGCAGAGTTAGTCGAAGGAGAAATCACCCCTCCCCGCTCACATGCCGAACGGCCTACATCCTCATTGTCTAGCGTCATTCCACTAAAGCGAATGCGAAGCCTTTATCGCAGCCATAGTGCTCTGCCTCTCGGATCTTCATCCTTTAATGGCCCATTCACGCCTCGTTTACTGAGTGGCCGCTCGCGTGACGCACGGACTTGGGAATTTTGTGCCGAAGGAGAGCCTCGTGACGAACTCACCACTCAGGCGGAAAATGAGTCCAGTGGCTCAGCAATCGCAGCGATTAGTCTTATCCGCTCGACTAGCAGCAGTGCTTTAAAGCCTAACCCTAATAAACGAAACACACTATCTCGACCGAATCTGCAAGGGAAGAGACCTAAAATGGGACGCGCATCGTCAAGTGTTGCGAGGATGCAGAGCGGTGTTAAGAAAGCAGGACAGCCTATTAATGATAAAGATCCGTCAATGAGATCTCCATCAGGAGATTCGGACAAGGAGAATTGGGTCCCGCCTCAAAGTGGCGTAAACCCACGCCGGCGACCTGCTCATACCCAAAAGGAGAGTGACAGAGAACCGAAAGGAATTCTTCAAGACAATCCTAGTATCCCTACTCACGTAGACTTTGGCGTCAATAGAAATAAGCGAAGAAAGAGTGCGCATTCTGAGCCTCAGGTTTATGAGGATGCAGAAGCTAGTACGAAGAACAACAAAGCTCCCGATGATGATGTTCAAAATTTTATGCAAGCTCCGGTGAGCCCGAGCAAGAAGGACGATGTCGATTGTATACAAGGGCTTCTATCATTGAGCCAGGGAAATTGGCGATAATCAGAGTCTTACGGGGTCAGTGATACGAGAAATGAATGATGATACGGGGTCTTACTGGAGCTTGGTTGGTTGGGTATTGGTCAATTTTTGGAAAATGGAATAAAATTGGTGTAACATTGTGGTGTGGTGTATGGTCAACTATTGTGGATTCCACTAACATTTGGAAGATCCAAAAATGTTCAATTAATCGAAACAATTTTATCTTAAAGATCTGGCAGTCAGCTGGGCTGGTCCTGAACTTTGCGATTCTTCTTTTTTCCCCGAAGACTTCTGCAATCAAACTTGTGTAAGGTCAAATTGCTAGATCATGCATTCCTACTTAACGCTTCGAAAGTCATGATGAGGAATCCCCTGTTCATTCAAGCCAATTAAGCGAGCACAGCCCTTCGAGTTGTATCAAAATAACTACTATTACCTGATCATCTTCAGACACATATTAATGCTCTTAGTTGATGTATCGAATTCTATTGACATTACCTTTGAACCTTGTTAGTCATCTTCTATTCACTGTATATGGTGTGTACTTCTTAAATTTGCTCCCAATTTCTTTCTGGCCCCGTGCAAGTTTCTCCAGCCCAACAACCACATAATAGCTTTTCGATTCCTCAACTAGCTTCAAGTTATCGAAACAGTCTCTACCTTTTTGAGGACAACAAAGAAATATCTCTATCAATGGAACAAATTTCTGGTACACAGACACCATTACGAGAATTTCAGGCTCTTGATTCTTATATTGATGTTGACTTTGCTCAGCTTTTTAATTCTTCTGTCTCTGTCTCTGATGACAAACTCAAATTGAAAAGGATAGCTGACAAACCTAGACCAGGTTTTGATGGAGGTAATGAAAGAGGAACTAATGTTTGTACAACTGCAGATCATAAGGCTGTTGATGATGAAGAGGTCGATCCTCTGACAGTCAACACAAAGCCATTTATGCTGACGCCAGAACCTTCATTGCTCAGTTCCAGATCTAGTTCCAGCTCAGCATCAAGCTCCACATCTACCAGCACAGATCCAAGTCTGAAAGTCGATAATACAGCTCAGACTGCAGTTGTCTCTAAAACTGTTCACCAAAAGCAAGCATCTGACAGCACTATTGTTCCGCAAATCAGTAGTCTTCGGCACCCAAGTTACAAAGGAAAAATTTGCAATCAAAGTAAAATTGTCACCGGTTTGACCACTCCTTCACCAACTCCAATAATCGTCAGTCCAACAAGCCGAATTGAACTCCGAGCACTCTACGAGAAGTATCCCAACATTTGCCCAAAATTTCCCGCACCACCGCCAGCCTTCTTCAACCGAGATCTCAGCCAACAAACATACTTACAATGTGTACGATCGCCCCCAATCACACCGCGCAAATATGGCCAGCCAGATTCCCGCCGTCTTGCCGAGTCATTCGCCTCCAGAACACCACTCCCGTCCAAAATTCACCTGCACCCCAGAATGGTGAAAGAGAGTTTGAAGGAATGGTATGAGATGGCTGGATTTATGGCAAAGTGTCGACGCGATGAACAACTCAATCCTTATCCACATCTGGATCTGAATTCAGGATGGAATCGCGCACGAGTTCAGGGAGAACAATGGCATGATAATTTTAATCCGTGGCAGAAACCTAATACCAAGATTTTGGAGGTGGTTCAGTTGCAAGAGCAGCTTTTGAAGTTTTCGTGGGGTGAACAGGTAGATTCGATTGTTGTTGATGGGGGGTTGGCAGAGGGTGTTTTTGAGAGGGTATTTGAGGGCGTAGATGCGGAGAAAGAGAGGATGGCTGGACGCGGACAGAAGAGAATGCCGGGGGCTTGGTGGGCGCAGAGGAAACGGATTTTTTACGATTTGAAGGGTAGAGGGTTTAGGGAGGAGGTTCATATCAAGAATTGTCAGATCTGGGATGGGGTAAAAGTATGGGCCGCAAATGATGTTGACGCACAATACGGCAAATCAAAGCGAAAAATTGATGTCGTTGAGAAAATGGCTGCGAAAGCAGACGACATGGAACAAACCCAGATTGAGGAGCCTATTCCCAAGAGACACAAATTCCGTCGTCGAATCGCACAAGTCATGAGCGCCGCCTGGCGAGCCAAGCGAAGAAACCAGGAAAAGAAAGCCGGTCGATGGACAGACGGAACACCGTTGCAAAACCGCATATGGGCTGAATTTCACTGGGTCTTGGATGCGCCAGATCATCGTGATCGACGATTTTTCGACATGCGGGACTGGCCGCGGATGTTCGCTGAGAAAGGATGGCCAGGAGTTTCTGCGATGCGGGTTTGGGCGGAGTTTTATCATGGATGGGGTCCGTTGCAGAGCTGGCTTTATTGGTATACGCTTCAGGCGCAGAGACAGCGTAGGATGTTTAGGGAAAGGGAAGGACGGCAGAGAAGGCAGTGGCAGTGGGCTATTGAGGGTGAGGGCGAAGTTAGGCTTCCGGATGCGAGGTTTGGATATGTTGGGTACACTGGATAAGATAGCGATGGGGATGGGATATTCTGGTACTTCGAGTGATTCGAAATTTTGGGGGCAATGCGACGATCAGAATTTTTCTGATCGTTTGGAACTTCCAGACTCTACGAGGGTCTTTGATACTTTGGTACAATTCTAGCAACCTAAAGTTTCCCGTCGAGTGGGAGGATATTAGGTTCGAAATATGAAACGAAACGTATGGCATGACGGCATGGCGGTTCGAAGAGATTTGCGGTATGCAGTTTCGTTTCTCAAGTTTTATTTGGCAGCTGGTGATCTTTGCTTTAATATCAGTTCGTAGCAATCTAAGAAAGCCTATTAATTTTCTAGCAGAGAAGCAGTGATTAATGTGCATGATGACGAGATTGTTGAAGATAAATTGGCACATTTAGTAGTATGCTTTCTTGACTGGCGTCCACAGTTCATTACATAACATCTTTCCAACACCGTTGCTGGGCTCGACGCTAATAGATATGGATCTTGCTCTTGATACTACCATTATGATGACGAGTGGTCTTTCGGCCGGTATCCTTGACTTCTGAGTCCTCAGGTAGGACAGCAACTATATTTTTGGTCGATCTCTCCAAATCAAAATACTCACACTAAAATCACCTGCTTTGGGTTCAATAAAAATGAGATCTGAAATTTCTTGGCGTTCTTGATTGACCTGACTTCTTTCTCTGAATATCTTGAAGAGAAGAACAGGAGAGAGAATATTAAAGAAGAGACAAAGTCGTTGAAAGCTGTAGTCACACCGCCGCTGGTCAGTATGGAATGTGAAATCGTTTCGCTTCCATTCTGTTCTCGAGGCCATCAATGATTCGTAGACGGAAGTTTGAGTTGAAGCAGAACGATTGTTTACCTCTGTCTTAGAGACCAAGATGATATAGAACGAGTATTTTGGGCATGCAATGCAGCAGTGATAGGCGCAAAAAAGGTAATGAATATCCGTAGTCTGTAGAATAGCCGAAGGTTTCTTTAAAGTTTTACTATAGAGATAGCATTCAAGTACCCGAAGTGTTCGCACTTTCCTCAAGTAAAGTTCCAAACAAACCCTTTATATTCTCCATCCGCAACTAAGATACATGCATTTCAAACAAATAGTTTATCTGTATCATCTCTTCAATTATAAGCTATCAATTATTAACCATGGGGAGAGGAAATTTTCAAAGACGGAAGGGGAAGAGCCACAACAAAATCATGCCAGGAGCTTCTTTGAAAGGCCATTTAATGGCGAAGGGGTTCAACGCTGCAGCAGTAAGTTCATACTGAGAAACCATTAGTCAATCATTTGAAGCTGATGGTTTTCCAGGCGAGACAAACCCTGAAAGTGCAAAAGAAACACTACAGACTCGTGAATGAGCGTACTGACGTCAAAGTAAATGAGCTCAAGCCCTCCAGCAGAACTTCTCGTCTTGAAGAAGGCTGACTGTTTCCAGTCTCAAAACTGGGCGAATTCTGTTCATCCTCAGAAGGAGATGTGTTTACTCCTAGATCTATTGCCCGAAGTGCGTCTGATAATCTGGGAGTTTTGTATCCTTAATCTTCGTATGTAGTATCCTCTATCTACATTATCCTCAAATGATGCGGGCGTATACATGCTAACATTTGCAGCTTGCGGCCGCAAACCTATCACAGTAGCGATTTCTCAACCGCAATTTAATCGAGATCGGCATGTGCTTCAGGGCCCAATCCCTTTACGTGGTAGCAAGAGATTCTACCTACAAAAACAAGCCTGCTCTCGCCAAAAGTACTTCGACCAAGTACACCCTACCTTTAGAGCCCAAATTTTCAATCTCTTTATGATTTGTCGGCAGGCATATCTTGAAATTGGGGGCGGTGCCCTTTTATACAAAACGAAGACTTTTAGATTCCTTGATCCGATGGTTCTGTTTAGATTTTGTTTTAAAATCCAACGCCACTTTTTCTTTATACAAAGTATGACTATTGAATATGATATCTCTTCTGACCGGGCCTTTTTTTTTTGTCATGTCTACGTTTTCGATGATTTTCCATCGGTATAACCTCAAAAATTTCAGAATGAAGATAAGGATTCTAAGTCGCGAGATTTTCAATAGTACAGCGCCTCACTTTAAAATCCATGGAACCCTTTTCCCAAGTTATCACGGACAAGTAGTACTCCATAAACTCTGCAGCGGTCCGACACTATGGAAGTGGAATCTAAAACCCGAGAAAGTTGACAACATCAAAGACTTCGACATTGATGTCAGCTACGATGATGCCTGGCCTAGCTACTTTAGATTTGGCGGAGACAAAAATGGTTGGCACCTTGTCAGGAATCTACATGCTATGCAAAATATCGACATGAGTGAACTTGTGCAGCGTCTCATGGAAAGGTATCCGTACTACAAAAAATGTGGTGTTAGAGAGCAAACCTCGACCCGCATAGAGGACACATGGGTTGATGTCTGCGAACCTATCCTTGTGCCAGAAACTGCACTGAAACTGTTACAGAAGAAGAACGAGAAAGAGGAGAGGGAGAGGTTGGAGGAGATATCGGAGGAGCAAAATTAAGTATGGATCGTCTGAGAGCACAACAATATCCATTCCTGCCCTTCTAGAACCACTGCAACGAATCGAGTTAGACGAAACCCATACCCATGTATTAATAAAATCGGAGAACGGTTCACTAAACCGGAATTCTCAATATATTCAAGTAGCCATATAGATATTTACAGATTGCTGACTCGTGATTCTGGTGATACTACACTTTCCCGGTTCTCTCTCTCGATTCTACGTCTCGCTTCCTCGTTCCCCCTTCTCCACATATCTATCCTTTTCAAATGCCCATTATCAAATCCTTCTCTCCACCACTTCTGGAATTTGGGTAAACTTCTACCTTTACCATTCTTTGCCTCACCTGCCATTTCCCTGACGGCCTCAAAATAATCTTCAAAATCGGGATAGAGAGCTGTGAAGGGTACTCCATCCCCTTTTACTGCGATTCTATCTTCTTCCCATTTCTTTTGCTCTTCAGCGGAAGGAAGAGTGATGTGCCCGGCTAAAAACCGTGCTGCAAGTACAGCTTGCCATTCAAATACCTTGAATGTAAATCCTGCAGCCACAGCACCGACGAAAGTTAAGGTAGGGTCCTCGCGCCAAAATATGTGTTGATACAGATTTGGAAGACGATTATTGCGTATTGTAGAATCGAGATTAGGAATGAACGGAAGAGTCCAGGAATATCCAGTTCCAAAAATAATATAGTCTACTTTTTCTAATTTAGACCCATCTTCAAAATGAATTGTTCGCTCATCTGTGTTAGCATCCGAGGTTATGTGGGATATCGGTGGACGTCGAAGAATATGGGGATGCTGGAAAGCGTAGTCAAAAAAGTAAGGATGATATTTGCCTCGAACAACAGAGTGAAGAGGTCGTTCAACACAATCAGCAAGAGCATAAGAAATATCAGGACCAGAGATGCTGGCGCCAACGACTACCACACGCTTCCCGCGATATGTTTCTGGGTCACGCCAAGCTTTCGAATGAAGAACCCTTCCAGGAAAATTTTGGGAAAAGGCAGAAAGACCTGGAGTTGAAGGAATGAACGGGACACTGTAGTGTCCTGCTGCTACAACAACTGCATCGAAAGATTCTGTCCACCATCTATCTTCAATTCCATTGTCAAGGGGTTTGCGCAACGTCAAAACCCATTTCGATGTATGTGGGTCTTTATGAACAAGCTCCACAGTAGTATTGTACGATATCAGATCTGGGTATCCTTTCCGATCCACCAAATCTTGAACATATTTTTCCACCACCTTCCAATGGCGAAATGGCGAGTTTTCGCCATGTCTTTTAATGTTAACCGCTGATCTTGTTTCCGGAAATGGTTCTTGAGAAAAAGACATGGCGAAAGCATCTATATTTGTTTCCAACGTAGGATATATCGAGGTATCAGAAAATCTATACTGGGTATTGTGCGGAAGCGTAGTAGGAAGATCAGATGGAATGGGAAGAGTCTCGTCTGGTCTGCGAGAAGCAAGTTTTTCAAAGTCTGGAATCTGTTGGACGTGATCTTTCGGATCTCCGAGCCTGTGAGACGAATATGAGTAATTGTTTTATTTAACGTTTTAACCATTCAGACATTTCGTACTCACCAGCATCCTCCAGCTTTCTCTCTTCTCTCAAAGAGCCGGATCTCATCAAATGCTTGCTCCTGAGCCAGAGCATCGAGTGCAATTGCGCCAGCTGGTCCAGCGCCGATGATTGCCACTGACTTTATGGTTGCCATCTTGTGAAAATTGCACCTTTGGTGAGTGTAAAGATATATAGATAGATATATTAATATTACTGCGAAGTCATGGAGGGCGTGTAGAGGATAGAAAAGGCCTCATAGCACACTTCATAGTTTTTATTTATCCTCTTATTAGTAACGGGACGGGAAGTAATCGATTTGCAGGGAACTCGATATGGCGAAATTTATCATGCATATCCCCTCACTCGGGTTCCTTTCGGTCATATGAGCCTAGGTAGATCTAAGATAAGATTAGATTAGATCTAGTCCTCTTTAGCTCCATACAAACAAAATGATATTTAGCTCATTGCGAACAACGGGTACTGGCTTTCAGTCCCCTCGATCATTAGATGGTTTCCCGCTCAAGCAGGGCTTTTTAGATATAGGATAAGGTCACAGCTCATTCCGTCATATCGAGGCGCACTGTCATATCATGTTACATCATCTCGATGGTTCTGTGTTACAGGTTATATAAGATCATATATTGATATGATCTCAATTATGAGTTCTCAAGTATTCAAGTTGGCTTCATAGAGTAGATTCACATTTGACGAGAATATTATGTGCTATCTGCGTTCAATATTGATCAATTGCATAGGACACACCTAGCTGAACCCCATTGAATTCTGAGATACACACTCTTTAGAGAACATCACCATCCTCACCATTTTCCTGTCTCGCGCGTTCCAATCCTAAATTCGCAAGATCTCTCAGCTCCCCTTCAATCTCTTTACATAAAGTACAAGCTTCCGCAATTCTCAACCACTCACACATTGCCAAAGCCGCATTCAATACTGCAGTTCGCGCTCCCTCAGTCCCGGCTCTTTCTTCCATACCATCGACCAAGTTTTCTCCCCATTTATAAAGATTGTTCATATCCATGGCCGCATCTGATTCAGCTCGATGAGGTGCCATCTGATCTCTCCTAGCCTTTCTCCATAGGAATGTACTAATTACTTCGATATTGTCCATGAGAGTCTTGGAATGGTCATCGTTGTATGATCTTTCTCGTCCTTTATCACGGTATGGATGGTATCGGTGGGAATATGAACGAGTTCGACCGTATCTGAGACTGATATGAGAGGAGCTTGGAAGAGCGCGAATGTAAGTGGTGGTGGCATCTAGGCATATTTGGTAGAGGGTATTCAAGAGGAAGTAGCGCTGCTCGGGAATCGACACAGGTGCAACGATTGTACTATCTGAGGCATTCGAGATTGACATCCTATCGTCCAATGTTGATTTAGACGGTGTATAAGTCCCCATGGAATGTATGGGGATCCGGTCTGATGGAGAGCTATTTAGCATCATAGCAATGGTGGGAAGACAGCTGCCAGAAACATGACGTAGAGGCAGGGCACGTGAATGTCCAGCGCGGTTGTCAGTTGTACGAGAACCTCCTTGGCAGTGACAGTAACCCACGTCTAGTAGGGCCTGGGAGTTTTGTCGGGTCGAGACAGGTGTGGTCATTAGACAGTCCGGATCAGGATCAATCGTCGCCTCAATGGCTGGAGAGGGCTCCTGCAATACATACCCAAAAGACGCTCTATTTTCGCCTTGAAAGAGCTTACTTCCCTCGGCACTAGCGTTTCCTGTCACCAAAGCCATCTGACTGCCAGGCGCAATAGGAGGATGAGGAATCGCTTGATTAGATAGGTGCAAAGGATTATTGATCCCGTTTTCAATACCACCAAAACTTCGGGAGTGACGTAACGAATTAACGTCAAAAGGATAAGTAACTTTAGATTTCTCATCGTTGTTAAAATCCATGGCGTAGAGAAAGTTTCACGAGGGCAGAGGGGGTACGAATGGAAGATGGAAATAAATATTGTCAAATTTTTCAAGGAGGGTGTGAGAGAGATAAGGTCTGATTTCTTTAAGGGCAACAATTACAACGAAACGCGATGTGATTCTCGAAGGAAATATACTTAGCTGGATTGTTCTCTGGCATAATTGGAATGAGTTAAGTAATATATTATATTCTGCATGGAAAGTATGGAACGGCAAAGAGCCACTGCGTTGCATGCTGAGGCTTTGTATACAAAGTTGCGAAACTCGTCAGTGCTTCTATTCAACTCTTTTCTAAGCGTTCCAAATAACAATTCTTCCATCAACACCGCTCGCTAAAAATCAATTAGTTTCCCCTTAAAGATATAGATTAAAAGAGCACTTACTAGTGAACTTGCTGACACCACTTTCCGAACCTTCATAGACGCGGATAGTGCTGATGGTGTTTTGATGCACAGTTGTCAATTGTGTATCATCCTTGACTTTTCCTTTCAAGTCCATTTGCTTGAACATATTGAAAGCACTCTCCTCTCCAACATCTTTGACTGGGCCCCCTTTTGATTCCAAGGAACCTGTGAGTTGCCAGCCTCCTTCGCTACCACCAAATCGGAATGCCTCACAGTCATAGCCTGCCGCAATAATCTCAGCTTCGCCATTCCAGATCAAACTCATAAAAGGGAGAAGCTGTGTGCTGACACTAACAACAGCCTTTGGAGGTTGATCTGCGCCATTGGGGTATACGACTGTGATGCTGCTGTCGTGTGCAGCAAAGGCCAAGGCATTTCCACTCGGCGAGAACGATACTGCGTGAACCCATCCAGCAGAATTGTTGAGATACTCTCCGCAGACAGTGTTAAATGGCAGTCGTTCTCCCCAGACTCCAGGTTCTGGCCTAGCATCCACTCCCTTGATGAAACTCGAGAATACTCTTGCATGGGCATCGGTAGAACCGGCAGCTAGGAGAACGGAATTTGGATGCCATGCGACAGTTGTGATGGTGCTACGGATAGGCTTCTTGATGTGTTTCGAAACCCACCAGTCGTTCTCCTCTTCGAAATAGCAGATAGCAATCACCCTTGCACCGGATCCAACGGCAAACTTCGTTTCGGAAGGAGACCATCGAACAAATGTGGCCGCACGATTGATTCGGAGAAGGACGAGAGTAGGTTTATAGCCAGTGGGAGATGGTTCCCAAACCAAAGCATTGCGGTCTGGCCCAACATTATCAGCATTGTTGAATTAAACCGGAATGATTAAATGGGTACAAACCTTGGGAGCATGTTACAATTCTACCACTGTTAGGAGCTATATCAACACTGGTGACGGTCTTGTCATGACCTTTCAATTCGTCCTTGAGCTTGAATTCCTTACCGTCTCGTCCATAGAGCTCGACACTGGTGTCGCGTGCTACAGCCAATGTCTGTCTATCGGCTGAGAACGAGTGATCCGCGATAGGATGATGGAAAAGGTGATGAACTTCTGGACCAGGCATTTTGTTGCTTCTTGATAGGAGGAGCTCTCTACTATCACTGTAAATATGTACTTATGTTGGCATTACCGCATGGACGAGAGATGCTTGCTTGAACGTGGGGCGGGTACTCCCTATACGTCTGATTACTAACCACTTTAAGCTAGCGCAAGGCTGCGAAAGGCGGACTCTCGAAATTTATATCAATATTGATATATGTTGGAAGTACCCCAAATCCAAGACGCGACTGACTACCGAGTAACGACAGAATGAGTGCCGCAGTAAAACCTGTCCCAGTGAGGACGTCGTTCCCTCCAAATCAAACCCTTTACATCACCAATTTACCTTCGTCGAAGATTCAAAAAGATGATTTACGTAGAGAACTCTACACATTATGCTCGACTTATGGTCCAGTTCTCGATGTCATAGCCCTTAAGTCAATGAAGATGAGGGGTCAAGCACATGTGGTGTACAGAGATATCCAGACCGCGACTCAGGCTATGAGAGCATTACAAGGATTTGAGTTTCTTGGACGTGAAATGGTTAGTTGGGAATCCTTCAATTCTATTGCTCGTCTACTTGAAATGATTAAGGGCTGACATTCACTCTACTAGAATATCCAGTATGCCAAATCAAAGTCAGACACCATTGCCAAGTTGGACGGTACTTTTCGTATGCCGTCTGCAGCAGCGGCTGCAGTCGTGGCCACAGAATTGCAGCAAAGCATTTTCAATGCGCCGCCTTCCGCAGCTACCATTACGAGCAATTTACCTCCCCCACCACCGCCCTCAACCCTCCAGGTTCCAGCTCCTGCATCCGATCACGCTATGGAAGATGCAACAAGCCCAAGTGCAAGTGTTGCTGGACAGAAAAGACGTCGGGATGAAGAGGAGGAAGAAGATAGTGAAGGAGACGTTGCAATGGAGGAAGACAGTGATGACGATTAGCGACTGATGATATTGCATGGAAAAGGCGTTGGGGACTGGTTTGAGGCGTATCGGTCTTGGTCACACGGTTATCGACTAAAATGGATCTAAAGGGCTACGGCTCCTATACAATTCGCATATTAAGTACATTGACCTCTAATGACATGTCAGATATGGCGTGTGAACCATTATGTATTTCCGATGCAACACAAGTGTACATACCTAGTTGGTGATGTTTCAATCGTGTGATAGGTTTTGTCGTGGCATGTCCACAAAGTGAATGTGAAGCTTCAATATCTATGTGATACCTTGGATCAATGTATTATATGCCCAGTGGAGACGAAACTCTTTGAGGGGACGGAACGCCAAAAGCTCTTCTCTATAGATCTTCCTGAGCCATTTCGTGAGGCATCCATAGTCCCACACACCCACCTATCAAGCCAAGCCATACCATCAAATAATTATTTGCCGGACAGTCAAAATTCTCCATTGCCTCTCTGGTTTGACATGGATGAATGAAGAATGCCGGTACATCTGTGATAGGGTGTGGCTAAGACCTAGTTAGGATGTATTTTCTTAGCAAAATTAGCGACTTACAGCAGCGGAAATCCCACCCATTACTCCTATTGCACGAAGTTCACTTTTGTACTCTTCTGGCACGAGATGTCGATAAACAGAATTTATATCAAACGCAGGCTCATCGTTTGGTAAATCGTGAAGCGTAAACCACAAAGTCGGTATTCTATAAGTGGGATGTAGGTGAATCTCATAAGTAACGTAAGGCTGGTGAGAATATAGACTGTATCGGGGAATAGAGTCACTCTCCAGTGTCGAAGACTTGTTTACACGCAGTGCCTCCTATACCATGTCAATAAGTCTAAATATTCATATACTATCAACACGAATGAAGAGAGTCACTAACGTCGTCTTCATCCTCATCCATCATATCCACCTCTTGACTCGGAGCAGAGTTTGGAGCGTAACCACTACTCAAATTGCTAAGAGCAAGTAATAGATCATCATCATCTTGTGGTGGATGAATCAATCGAATAATTTCAACATAGCATGACCCAGTAGTTGCTGTTCGTCCCATGGACAGCTTGAGGTTCTTCCTTGCAGGTCCCAATGATGCTCGACAATATCTTCGATCAAGAAACGCACAGGCGAGCTCAAACTCTTCTTCCGTGAGAAATGGCCACTGACGATATTCATGGCGATGTGTTGCCATCATGACTGGTTTAGCACTGGCTAGAGAGTCAAAATATTCAACCCACAAATCAGCATTGGTGTAAGTACCGTGTTTGCTGTGCTTGCTGTGTGTAGGTGGTTCATGAATATTTAGTGAATCCCTAGTAAATCCCGCCAAAAAGAACTCTGTTCAAATGTTAATTTTGAAAGTCAATTCACGCTATATATTTTGTAGACTCGAAAGTAGAAAAATATTAGTTGTGATAATTCATGGCATTGTATCTTTTGTAGCCTCTCCTTAGGAACGGTCAGATACCCACCAGCTACAGTGCTAGGCTTGCTGGCTCGGTGGACGAACTTGTAGGACCTGGCGATTTTAGCTGTTCTCACCAGTTACCCCGGTTAAAAAAAGTGGTCAGGGGTAGCTTTGCTTTTCGCTACCTACCCACCGAAGCTCCCCAGATAACTATCGCCATATATGCTTCCGAGTTACTCTTCGTAGTTTTATCAGAGCCTACGCAAATTTCCAATGATGATTGCCCAAACATACCGGGTAGAGACACAAATCTCCATTTTCAAAGTCTATCAGATTTGCTAAACAGATTTGACTGTTCAAGAAGAACTTGGGAATACAAATCTAACAGGTAGGACACTCGGGGGGTGTAATGTAAGGCTGAAAATAAAGCCTGTAATTTATCCCAAGGCTCGGTAAGTACGCCTTACGTGTACTGTTTATAGCTCTTGAGTCTCTCCGTTTCGAAATGACACCTAATGATAACCCTCAGATATTTTAAGTTTTTTGTATTTTAGTGTTTGTTTATAGTCGCGCCTTCTGGTAATGAAATGATTTTGAAGTTTCCATGAACAGTCGCGACCCCTTTAATCTACGCCGCTCTCCAGCATTCAACATCCTTCGAGGCACTGCGACACAAGCTGCTTCAAATATCACTCAAAGGGTCAAAGAAGCAGGCGAGCAAGCTTATGAGTCTGGGAAGCAAGCTGTCGAAGAGATGTCCACTTTTTCCATACCAAAAAACGTCCCCTCTTTCACAGATCCTCAGCGCAATTTGGAAAACAAAGCTTGGGCGGCCTCTGGCATGACCGCGAGATCATCGACGGCACATACAAGTGGAGGAGTAATTAGCGGCATACAAGATCGAGTTGGAAACCTTCTTGGAGAAAATAGGGATCTGCCGATGTACAAAGACAAGCCGTATTCATATGCCTCCTCCAGGAGAGCACAACCTTTTTACAAACGGCGGCGTATCATATTTGGGTCCATTGCATTTGTATTTTGTGTGTTATACTTTTTAGGGTTCTTTGGATCCAGTGACGAGACGAAAAAGAAATCGACAGACAGATGGACATGGCTACAGCGGCCGGAAAAGGGTCCTAACTCAATTGATTGGCTAGATCGAAGGGAAAGGGTCAAGGAAGCTTTTACTTTGAGTTGGGATGCATATGAGCGATATGCATGGGGCTATGACGAGTTTCATCCAATCTCGAAACATGGGAAGCAAATGACACCGAAAGGAATGGGCTGGATAATTGTGGATGCTTTGGATACGATGATATTGATGAATTTAACAAGCAGGGTGCAGCATGCAAGGGAATGGATTGCAACTTCACTGGACTACGACCAAGATCAAGAAGTCAACACATTCGAAACTACAATCCGCATGCTTGGGGGTCTTCTATCCGCCCATTATCTCTCCACAGAGTATCCACACCTAGCTCCATTGGCCGAGGACGATGAAGGAGCTTCAGGGGAGGATTTATATCTAGAAAAGTCGAGGGATTTAGCTGATCGTTTGCTTGGCGCCTTTGACTCTCCCTCTGGAATACCATTCGCCAGCGTTAATCTCAAGACCACCAAAGGTGTTCCATCTCATGATGATGGCGGGGCCTCATCCACAGCAGAGGCGGCGACGTTGCAGTTGGAACTGAAATATCTTACCAAACTTACTGGAGAGACTGAATACTGGGAAAAAGCTGAGAAGGTGATGAAGATTATTGATGATAATGGCATGGAGGATGGACTCTTGCCAATTTACATATACGCTAATACTGGAAACTTCCGTGGAAGCAACATTCGTCTTGGCAGCCGCGGCGATTCATACTACGAATATTTGATCAAGCAATATCTTCAAACTTCAAAAGAAGAGCCTATCTATGAAGAATTATGGGACGAGGCACTTAGGGGAGTTCGTAAGCATCTCATCACTTACTCTAGCCCTTCCAAGTTTACTGTTCTTGCTGAGCGACCTGAGGGTCTGGGTGGCTCTCTTTCGCCAAAGATGGATCACTTGGTATGTTTTATGGGTGGAACAATTGCTCTAGGTGCCACTGGTGGCATTACAGAGGCTGAGGCGCGCAAGCTACCAAGCTGGAGCGCGAAGAAGGATGAAGAGATGAAACTAGCAAGAGAATTGACGCACACCTGCTGGGGAATGTATAAGGTGATGGCAACCGGGCTTGCCCCTGAAATCGCACATTTCAACATTGATGATCCACCATTGCCAGAGGATGCACCACATCAAGCACCTACAAATTTTGATGATCCGGAGAATCAAGAATGGCGCAAGGACTTCATTATAAAGAACAACGATAACCACAATCTCCAGAGGCCGGAAACTATCGAGACATTGTTCTATATGTGGCGTATCACAGGAGAGGAGATGTACAGAGAATGGGGATGGGAAATGTTTAGGTCCTTCATGAACCACACCGCTGTTGGTGAAGGTGGTGGGTTTACGAGTCTCTCTAATGCCAATGTTCTACCTGCGCAAACCAAGGATAACATGGAGAGTTTCTGGCTTGTAAGTACATCCTATATCCGCTTGTCATTGACAATTCGCTAACTTTAACCAGGCTGAAACTCTCAAATATTTTTATCTTCTTTTCTCGCCAAATGATATTCTTCCCTTAGACCAAATAGTTATCAACACGGAGGCGCATGCCTTCCCAAGATTCAAGATGGGCCCATTGTTGTCAACTGGATGGAAGAGAAAGCCCAGGGGGCCAGACGGAAAGATCTTACCAGAACCAAAGAAAGAGCCCGAAGTAAAGGAAGTCGAAGTTCAGGAGTTGAAAAGTGGTGCGACATGAAGTTAAAAAAGCAAAATTGTACCTATATAATAGATGATGACCATGTAAATTCGTTGTATTTTTATCGCATTTAGATTATAGGCTTTTGTATGTCTTTCTTATTATTACTTGCAGATTTGAACAATCTAAATATAAATACCATTATTGTATCTTCGATGAAATATCTTGTCTATTGCATTCCAATGGTTTACAATGAAAACTTGAGACGAGCTGAATGATTTTACATTGCATTGCATCTTGTATTAAAAAATTAAAAATTTCAACGCCTCAACCTCTTTATATAATAAATGTCTACATTTGGAACCTTTCTTGCATCTGATAATCAGTTTACTACACAGGAAGAGAATTATAAGCTATTGCTTTAGGTAGCGCAATACCAAAACACAGGACATAAATCTCTAAAACTTAAATGATACACAGACATTTGGTCGGCACTTCACTGATGCAACTTTGACAGCCGGCTAATCGAATCGGAAGCTTTTCTAAGAATTATATTTAAGCGTCGAGCTGTTAGACGCAAGAAAGACGACCAAAGTCAACAACCACATGTTTTTCAAACCCAGCGTCTATGGACGAGATCGAGGATGGAGGGAGGGAGGTATAATAACCCATATCGACTGTTCAGCTGACGGGGCCGTCGTTGTACCAATTGTTTACAAGTCGAACACCAAACTTTGCCCAGAAGTTGAGATTTTGTACTCCTATTTTACCTACTTGGCAACGATGGTGATACATCAATAGAATGTCATATACCTTTCTGAAGCGTTTGATGTTAGTTGATGCTTTTCTTTCTTCTTCTTCTTCTTCTTCTTCTTCTTCTTCTTCTTCTTCTTCTTCTTCTTCTTCTTCTTCTTCTTTCTTCGTCATGTTTGTGGCAACCAGCTTGCAATTGATGAAGTTCATCCCGCTACCACGATGGCTCCACAAGCCCTAGCGCCCCCATACCCCAAATCAAGCTCATCACGTCCAATCACGCCTAATCACTTCGAGCAATCTCATGCAAAAGATAAGCCTTTTACTCTCCGAGATAGCTGTGCCTTCCGGGCTCACAACTTCATCTTCTTACTCCGCAAACTTTCTCAACCAACTTTCATACTCATAGTATAAAACATGATGTTGGAAATCACTGGAAAATATGCCATGCACTATCACTTGCACAACCTTTGAGCTCTAGCCAACCGGTTGAGAGCTTCAATAGTTACTCTCTTAATTATTCGAGACAACTCAGCCTCACCGGCAATCTTGATGCGGTAGATCTAGATCGACGAGCATCATTCCTAATACAGGCTGTCGACATCTCCTAGACTACACACACATCAAAACTCGAAATCATCAAGATGAATAGTTTCAGGATGAACGATATTGAGAAGGGTTCAGTCTACCCCGATAAAGACCAATCCACAACTCCGGACTACAGTAGCGGACGCGGGGAACCAAGCTACGAAGAAATAACGCAAATAAAACATGGAATAGGGCGTCGCTTTGTTGATAGCTTTCGAAGAGATCCAAGTCTTACTATGACCCCGCCGGGTGTGGTAGGCGCAAATGGGAGAGTATTCCATGCCGAAATTGCCGCGCAAGCAACGGCAAATTCTCCTCTTGCACGAAGATTGAAAGGGAGGCATCTGCAGATGATCGCAATTGGAGGTTCAATAGGTTAGTTGCTTGACGCGCCGAGTGATTTAAGGGGCTATTACTGAGTCGACTTCATGGACAGGTACCGGACTTTTCGTTGCGTCGGGCAAATCTCTCGCAACTGGCGGACCTGCATCACTTATCATATGCTTTACACTCATCGGGCTCATGTTATATTGTACGGTGCATGCTTTGGGTGAAATGGCCGTTCTGTTTCCCGTTTCAGGGTCGTTTTCGGCCTACTCGACTCGATTCTTGGATCCGGCAAGTTCATTCATTGATATAATGGGAAAGAGGTTAACTAATTGCGTGACTTACAGGCTTGGGGATTTGCTATGGGATGGGTATGAGAAACCACAGATAATATGGAAACTAGCATAATACTAACTCCTAGCAAACAGAACTATGCAATGCAGTGGCTTGTGGTTCTTCCATTAGAAATTATTGCGGCGTCTATCACAATCGACTTCTGGGATATACAACAGCGATACGATCACGCTATATTTGTCACAGTATTTCTCTTCACAATTATTGGCATAAATATGTTTGGAGTGAAAGGGTATGGAGAAGCGGAATTCTTCTTTGCTATCGTCAAAGTTGTGGCTATTATTGGATATATGTGAGTCTAACCGTTGTCATATTCGATCTACGTTTTGGCCATTATTCTATCCTTACGCTTTTTTGAAGAATCCATAGATGTTTCAACGGAACAAAACTCTGACTTTTCCAACAGACTTTTGGCCATAATCCTCAACTGCGGTGGCAGCCTTGAAGAAGGTTATGTAGCTGGTACGCTGTGGAGTGATCCGGGCGCATTCAACAACGGATTCAAAGGCATGTGTAGTGTTTTTGTCACTGCAGCATTTGCTTTTGCCGGCACTGAATTGGTGGGGCTCGCTGCCGCTGAAACACAGAACCCCAGAAAGTCATTGCCAAAGGCCGTGAAGCAAGTATTCTGGCGTATCACTCTTTTCTATATTGTGTCGCTTACTCTCGTTGGACTTCTCGTCCCCTATACCGACAAAAGATTGCTTGCTGCTGGAAATGCGAATACCGCGGCAAGTCCCTTCGTTATTTCTATTCAAAACGCTGGAATAACGGTACTTCCTTCTGTTATGAACGCAGTCATCCTTATTGCTGTACTATCTGTGGGCAACTCGTCAATATTCGGATCTTCTCGGACTCTTGCAGCATTAGCAGATCAGGGGCAGGCTCCTAAGATTTTGGCTTATGTTGATCGTAAAGGACGTCCTATCGTAGCTATTGGCGTATCATCGGCTCTTGGGTTCCTTGCGTATGCAGCGGATTCTGGTGCTCAGGCAACAGTTCTGGATTGGATGCTCGCACTGTCTGGGCTTTCCTCAATATTTACTTGGGGATCTATTTGCCTTGCCCATATCCGTTTCCGACGGGCTTGGGTACTCCAGGGACATAGCCTGGACGAGTTAGCTTTTCGTTCGCAGCCAGGCGTCATTGGCTCGTGGATTGGGTTTTTATTCAATGTTCTCATACTTATCGCACAATTTTGGACTGGGGCATGGCCTACAGGCTATCAGCAAATGACGGCACTCGAGCAATGTGAGAGCTTCTTTCTAGCATATTTGGCCGCACCCATCGTAATTGTATTCTACGTGGGATATAAATTCTGGTATAGGACTTCTGTGATGAGATCCAAGGATATGGATCTAAAGACCGGAATGCGCGGTCTAGACTTGCCAGCCTTGATAGCAGAGGAGCGAGCAGAAAAGGCCGGATGGCCAAAGTGGAAACGAGTATACAAGACAGTATGTTAGTTCAACTACAGGGAGTTTATGGTAATGCGGGTGGATTGGGAGTTTCTATCATAAGGGAGTTTATGTGCGAGAGATACCATGTGATTTCGGCGTTAAACAAATCATAGCGAGGGAGGATATCCATTGATTTACTGGGAACATGTTATAATACTTCAGCGAGCTGCGCGATACTCATTTTCGATCACATAGAATAATTACATAAATCAGCCATCAAATCAGATCGCTGTATATCGGACTTTGCCTAACGCGGGTAGTTCCTTTCCTGAAGCTTGCAACCACAACCAATCGGCGCGATTTCAAAGCTTTATATAAGGTAACGGGAACTATTCAAGAGCTCCAAACTATCATTGCCTTATTTGGCCGAGGGCTTATGGATAGAAAGATGGGATAAATCTAGAACTACGGAGGTCTACAAATAATCCGATGCCCCGCTTGTCATTAAAAGGCGTAGGCGGACTCCGTGTGATATATATTTTCTGTTCTGTTGACAAATCTCAAATCTTCGCTTTGTTGTGCAGGATCTCTGGACTGAAGCATTTTCCTCGGGGCTAATTGAGTAAGTACTTCCATCTAGTCTCGAATGGAATGTGATATTCAAAAGATCTGATAGTTGATAAATCGATTAGGTGGAGAGCTAAAATTTTCTAGTGAGGGGAAAAGTGGGAGTGGATCTTACGTTGATACCCCTCCAAAACTAACGATAGATATAGGAACTGATTGGTTAACCACCTCGAGAGACTAACTGGAATGAGAATATTAACCACAGCTTTTGGTTACTCTGTAGCTTTGTGATTGTCAAAATGTCCATGCATCTCCGGTACAACACAGACATCTGCGAGTAGATGTGGTTGAAAGATAAGGAAGGCATGACGGATGCATATGGCCGACTACGTGCAGCTATGTAGTGAATATATACATGGCGTTAGTCCAGCACTTACTCATACTTTCAATCCCTCTGCTTTGTATCTGAAGCTTCAAAAACATCTTTTTCAAACTTGACTTGTTAGTGTATTAGTCACCTTGTTTGATACATTGGACCTTCAAGATGTTGGCCAAGCAAGCTCTTTTTATCTCTGCACTTCTGCCATTGATTCAAGCCCAAGAATCTACTTCAGAAACGGTTTTGGGTGTTTATATTTTCCATCGTCATGGAGATCGTACTACAAAATCATATGCTCCCACATCTTTAACAGATCTTGGTTACGCTCAAGTTTATGATTCTGGAAATTTCTATCGAAACAGATACATCGATTCCAACGCCTCTTCCCCTCTTTACAAGATCAGTTCAGACATAGCTAAGGTCTCTCAATTAAATGTCCAAGCACCAGTCGATAATGTCCTTCAGAATTCTGCATCCGGATTTCTTCAAGGTTTATACCCACCTGTTGGTGCAACATTGGGAAGCCAAACACTTGCCAATGGCACAAGTATTGAAGCCCCGCTAGGTGGTTTTCAACTCATTCCTGTCAATGCTGTTGCTACAGCATCTAGCAGTGCCAACTCCGAGAGTTCGTCCTGGCTACAAGGCTCCAGTGGTTGTGGAAATGCTGTCACCAGCTCCAACAACTACTTCTATTCGGAAGAATATGCGAGCCTTCTTAATTCGACTAAGAGCTTCTACCAAAGCCTTCTCCCTGTGATTAACACCACCTTCAATTCCAGCACGGATACTTTCAAGAATGCATATACAAGTAAGATCTAATTGCTCCAGTTTGCTATGTGTATTGTTAACAGATATAAGTTTATGACTACATTCACGTCTCTACCATTCACAATTCGTCTATTCCTTCCGATGACCTTCTCACAGATGAGACACAATCTCAATTATTAGCTCTAGCCAACACTCACGAGTTCAATCTCGCATATAATGCTTCAGATACCATTCGTGCGATTGCAGGATCTACATTGGCAGCACAGATGTAAGTCTTTAATTCATCATACCACACTCAAGATCATAAGATGAAAGTGCACATTCGTCATTCTCAAGCCAGCACGATTATTACTCCATCATCTCCAAAATCACTACAACCTAATCGAATCAACTAACACATACTAGTCTCCAACAACTCAACACCACCATCACGGGTAAATCCGCCGTCCCAGTCTCCATCCAATTCGGCGCCTACGCCTCCTTCCTCTCCTTCTTCGGACTTTCCGGCCTCTCCACCCTCTCCCCAAACTTCACCGGCATCGTCGACTACGCCTCCTCCATGACCTTCGAGCTCCTTACCAACGCCACCGTCTCCAACACCTCCTACCCCTCCCCCTCCGACATCTCCGTCCGTTTCTACTTCTCCAACGGCACCGCCTCCGAGAACCCCCTCGTCTCCTACCCCCTCTTCAACCAATCAGAACTCACTCTCCCCTACACCACTTTCGTCGACGAAATGAACAAATTCGCCATCGGAGACCAAGATGCCTGGTGCACCGCCTGTGGAGAATCAACAGGAGATTGCGCGTCTTCAACTGCATCCTCTTCTTCGAGCTCGGGCTCCAGCTCCTCGGGAAATAGCGAGGGAAATGGAGGCATGTCGAAAGCGGTTGCGGGAGTGATTGGCGCAATGGTTACGCTAGCGGTGGTTTTGGGTCTTGAGGCGTTGGTGTTGGTGGTTGCGGGTTTGAGGGTTGTGAGTAGAAAGAGATTGGGAGCGGGGAATGCAGGGACGGCGGCGGTGGCTGGTGAGCAGGGTGGGAAGTAAGAGGAGGTGAATGATGAGAATGAACAGGTGGGGAATGTGATATGGGGGAGTTAGTGTTAAGTAATGATAATGCGGTTAGAGGGAATATGGAATGGGGGTTGAAAGCGCTCATTGATTACGATGATATGAAACGATAATTCCAAAAGCTTAAAATACATCCAGGAAATGTGTTTATATTGAATAGGCGTACCATATGATCGACAAAATGACAAAGTTCTTTGTGTGTCCCTATAATATCATACAGTACCACTTGAAATGGCCCTCACACTAATAAGTTTAGAACTCCAACTCAGACCATAGTTTATTATAATCATTCATTGAATGTGTAATCCTATTTATCTATACCTATACAAACAAGTAGTATCCATCTATCCTACTACTCTCATATACCCATAATTCGCGAACATCGCGTGATTTTCGTCATGACCCCATCCTATGCAACAATACAATAACCAACTCCAAATAAATGCTTCATCAGACCATATCCTCAAACAAAAGCGCTCAAACCACGCAACGCTATGCAACGAAATACAAATCAGTACAAAAACCCACTAATCCAACCCCTCTCCATTCAAAATGCTTTTCAAAATGCCCGCTCCCAATCCCTCCACCGCAGCCGCAACCTCTTTCTCCCCAACACAACTAGCCACTCTCTTCTCATCTCCCACTCCCACACCGGATCCGAATCGCCCGGGTCTACCTCGTGCCCTGACTCCTCCACTCAATACAAACGAACCATTTTTTCCATCGACCGCCGCGACTAATGATAGCGTTTCGAGACTTCCTACCACATCTCTGAATTCCGTGCTCGTTAAAGGATGTAAGATTGCGTCTCGAGTACAAAGCATGTTGTATGTGTTATACAATTGTTTGATGGTTGGAGCTAGGTTGTGAGATTTTGACGGCGTAGCGAGGAGATTGGAGGATTGAGAACGATTGCGTGATTCGAGAGCTAGGAGAGCGCAAAGGGCGGCTTTTTGTTGGAGATTAAGGGTCTTGAGACGTTGGGTCGAGCCATTTCCGAAGGTAGATGCGGTGATCTTGTTCACGTGCTGAATACTGGCGCGGGGGGCAGTTTCGACAGTGAGGGTTGCGAGGGATTGGGCCAAGGTTCGTGGACGGAACAAACTTTTGCTGGGGGTGTTTGTAATGGAGGAGAGATTGATGTTGTCCTCTAGGATTCGTTTGGAAGGGCTATCGAGGAGAACTTTGTCTTTGAGTTCTTGTTCGTGCTTTTGCTTGGTTTCGGTTTCGATTAAATCAATTGCTCTTCGGCAAATGTCGAAGGCTTTGCGTAAATCTCCAGTCTGGCTTGCTACTTTTCGGGAGCAAAGTTCAATGGCTGCTGGGTGGAGAAATGGTACGAAATTTGGAGTCGCGCTATCCGCGGGAACAAGTGACTTGAGGCGTGTCATGATGACAGTCTTGATCTGTAATGCGGTGTATGGAAGAAAAGGTAGTAGTTGTGGTTGTAGGTTTCGAGCCTTCAATCTTGGTAAGAAACGATCTGTAAGATCCAATGCATTTGCAATTCCGATAAGGATCAGGCGCGATGACTTCTGTAAAGACCATTCGAACAGCTTGTATAATATTTCCAGGTCCAACGTGAGGATGTGATCGATTTCGTCCAGCGTGATGAGGTAGACATCCTTGGTCTTTTTCCTCGAAACAAACATACTCTGTAAAGTCTTCTCTTCATCGCCGTCCAAAACCACTTCCTCGCCACAATAAGACTCCAGCAGTATACCATACAAATCCTTCGAGGTTTTCATGCTCATACAATTAACATACGTCTTGTGTAATGTGGTCGATTCTCCATATTCCGTCGTAACTTCGTTGATCATAGCACTTTTTCCAGTTCCAGGAGGTCCGCTAACATATATACACCCCCCACTTGTTTTGTCGACACAATTTTGTACAAAAGTTTTCAATTCGCCCTTTTCAGTCTCTCTTCCAACAAGTCGTCCAGGCTCTGAGCTCCGTGTGAAGATCTGTCGAGCTTGAGTATATACAGTCGCAATTGATCCACCGGGTGTTACAGGAGTCCTTGGAGTTCTAGGAGTCATTGGCTTTCCAGTAACAGTAACACGATGCCGAGGAGTTATTTGTACTTTTTTGGATAGCGCATCGCGATGTCGAGGTGTTTGAGGAGTAGGAGCTTGAGCTGTTTTGGATGCTTCTTCTATCAATGTTTTTTTCGGTAATGCGATCTTTCTACTTGCCAATCCATGTTTCGAAGGCGAGGACTTGACAGGTATAGATTCCGTCAATTCGTCAATGTCCATACAATCGTCATCGGAATCGTCGACCTCATCGCGCCTCTTGCGAGTAATGAAAGGATTTTCATTCTCGTCATTGTATATTTCTGTTTTTGCTTGTCGGTTTGCGCGCGTTGATGGTACTTTGAACTCTGTAGGATAAAAGTTAGAATGTTATTTAGATGTCTGCCGAATGACCCTTCGTACCTGCTATTGCTCTTGTGCTGCGGGTTCTTTTTCCTAAAACAGAAGGCATCATTGAGGATGTCTATATCTCTCTCTAACTCAATTCAAGTATATTCTTTCTCAATCACGGAAAGTTTTGCTTGGAGTTGAGAGAATTGAGGAAGTTGTAATGATGAGCAAATGGTAATATTCAATGGGTCGGATATTGATATGTAAAAGATCGCGTCGACGCGTTCGCGTATAGTGGATTTCACGCGTACTAACAACCCCTGAATTTCATGATTTCGGTGTAGCAGAGCAATAGTACGGCAACGGGCAAAGTCTAGTCTATGCACATGGCACGAGAATATGTAAGGAGGTGATGCAAGTCGTGATAATGTTGCATTTAAATAAGTATGTACACTGTATGGAATACCGGTAGACGAGAATGCACATGCAGATGATTAGATTCTACTTGCATTTAGGCCTATCTATAGGGTTATAAGATTATCATTTAAGCTTCACTGTCAAAATCTAGTTGTAAGCTATTGCGACTTCGACCGGAAGACTTCTCACGATGCTTTGCTATAGCATGTTAGAAATGACTTGGATCAAGTGGACCGTCGAACGGAGTATTTATTAGCCTAGCAAGAAGTGCTTGCATACTTTCGAATGCCAAAGATATTCAAAGACATGTAGACCAAACTAGACGTGCTCCAATATGTGATAAGTGTGATGTCCCTACAGATCTTTGGAAATCAATATTCCATATGCTATTTTAGGTATGGCACACCATACGAGATAGACCGATGGAACACGAATGTTAGAAATGCTATCACGTGGGTATGTCGAGTGGCTTTCTTGCCGTGGGAAGTGAAGATAACCTCATTGTCTACTTGCTCTGTAGGTAGTTGGTATAGTGCACATTACATTAAGTCACTCTAGACGGTTGTACCTGGAATACAGATCACGGGAAGGATTCGGGGCTCGGGATGGAAAAGAATGAAGAAAGTTGGTTCTTGGCATTACTATCATCTACAGAGTAGGTAGGTAGTCACTGCTAGGTAATGGATTAGTTTGGGCAGCAAGCAAACAAATTAGACGGGCAAACTTCTGGTCGACTTTTCCAAACTTGCTTCATGTTACACTTCACAACCTTCACAGATTCGCATGTATGATCATCTACATCACAACCACACAACCACACAATCATACAACAAGAACCAATGTCAATATCAATATCAATACCAATATCAATACCAAGAAGACTTCTTTTTACTCGCATTCAATATAATCAATGCACAAAGCTTCTATACGATAGGTACCCGTAGGTATCCCACCACACCCCATCAGGCTTCGTAGCCGCCCATCTTTTGTGCCAGGGTATTTGCCTTACCCTTCACGATGACTGGCTTCAGGATAAAAGCTGTGTATGCAAGTTTGACTGCCCCGCTCTTCCTATTCGTTATTCGTTCAGATTCACTCATTTCAATCAAATACCATCTTCTAACCTGTTAAACTTGTTCTCCAAGTTTGATTTCTTAACTCGTAAGCTCCTTCTCTTCATTCTTGTGTCTTTACACGGATTCGTATCCCAGAACTTTTCCCGTTTCGCATTTCACGCCGTGAAGAAGTTTACAACAGGTCGCTGGATCTTCCTTCTTACAGGCTTTCTTATCGTTTATCTGTTTCTGCCCTACAGGCCTTTTTCGTGGCCGCTGTAAGCTTTGATACTACCTGACGCAACTTTCCCCCGCCTCGCCGGTAAAGAGCTTGGCTCCATTTCAGCTATCTGTTCAGCAGATTATTGAAGGAAGAACTCGTATTAAGAAGAATCTACCACCCTATTTGCAAGTTAATCTAGCGGAGCGCTTGTAATCTGTACAAGATGGCCCGGCGCACTGGGAAACCCGGCGATGAGTTATTCATGCAACGTCCTGGCGATGGTTGCGATAGTCCTACCGTCACCATAGAACCTTTGAGAATTGTAAAGCCGACAAGTCCACCCAGACATCGAGCGGAATCGAGCTCTTCTAGTCGATTTGCATCTCCACCTCCTGCGAACAAGCATACATTCCCCTTGCCACCAGGTGCCTCGAGCTCCGCAAACCCTTTACCATATCCCGATGATGACGATGACGACCTGTTTCAGAAGAAACCAAACCCTCCTTATCCTGACAACCGAGGAAAGGCTCCACAAAGGATCCAGCTGAGCGATCAAGAAAATAGAACATCTGGAGAAAATAGCAGGCAGAATGCGTATGATACAGCACCACGATTTACAAGTCCGATAGAGAAGACTGGGCCAGGGCTATCGGAAAGAAGGGGGAATGCACCACAGCCCTTGCCTGCTTCTCCAGAAATAAGCTCCCCTGATAGAGAGGGAATGTTTGGCAGGATACCTCCAAAGGAACCAATTCTTTCAACTGGCGCAAGTGCGTACTCGGAGGGCAACAGACACTATTATCCTCCTCCTATTCCTAAACCTACCTCCTCTAATGCGGTGCCTGCAATACTTTCACCAACCCCAAGAAATGATATGAACAGATTCGCTTCTACGGCTTCAACTTCTACTACTAGAGCAAATAGGGGATCCCCACCTCCCCCAGAAACTCCTATCGATCCACCAGGTGAACTTGGAGGTGGTGGAATCGAGGCCCGATATGCTGCATCTGGAATTGCAGGCGCTGCAACTTTAAGTAGTTTACAGGCGCAAAATGCTGCTGCTGCTCAGCGAGCTAATCAATATGCGCCGCCTCCTGTTCCACAAATGCCACAATCGCCGCCCGCCAGACCTTGGACTCCAACAGAGTCTCCGGAGAATGCCCCGCATGGCCCACCTAGAGTATATCAAGGCTTAAATGAAATCACTCCATCGTCGCCTCCACCCGCTGTCACTCGGCCCCAAAGACAAGGTTCGGCGCCACCAGCTAACACTCTGGAGCAGGACTTTCAGCGCATGCAAATGTCTGCTGAAGAGCCACCGCCAGCTTATTCTAGTGTGACTCCTGGGGCCAATAATTCACAGGCGTACCCTGTTGAGAAACAACAGCGTACCAATCCACCTGCTGCCATAGACACTACACCAAAACCGAATATTGCACCACCATTAGCAACGCCCGCAAATAACCCTGACCACCCTGCATTTGCAAACGAGCCACGACAGGAACAAATTCCACATCAACAGCCTACTGAAGCTGGCCCGTCAGCTCAGCCTGTCAATATTTCTCCTTTTCAAGGCGCTGGCCCGTCATCTCCACCACCGCTCCCAGAGGGCTGGATTGCTCATCTCGATCAGAACTCTGGTCAGTATTATTACATTCATCTTCCTACTCAAGCCACTCAATGGGAATTTCCCAAGGGCCCTACACCATTGAATGATGTTCCGCTTTCACCAGTACAATCCACCTATGCTGGATATGGAAATCCCATGGCGTCCCCGGGTTTGAGTATGTTCAACAAACAATCTCTTGCATCACCTGGCTTTCAAGGAATGGCCTCGCCTGGTTTCATTGGCTCGCCAGGATTTCCTCCGCACACCCCGGGCTATGCGGAGAGTATTATGAGTATGGCGTCAGGCACGCCAACTACTGCAGGATTTTCTGGGCCCCCTCCCACCGCAGGGGTTGACATGTATAAGGTTGTTCCCACGAATGGCGTGTATTTTGGTCCTTATTTGCGATACGTGAATATGGATATGGAGAATGGTGTATGGCTGGGTACAATTATGCTCGTAACAGATGCTCCACAACCACCAACTATTCATATCCATCAAAGCGTCGATCTGTCGCCGAATCCCAGGCAACTCAAACCAAACCCAATTTACACACATCAAAGATGGGTCTTCTATCGCTATGATGTAGATTTGAAGATGGGAGAAGGTCCAGGTGATAAGTGGACCTATGCTATAACTTCGCATTTGGGTTGCACGCGATATGAGTTTTTGGTAGCTGGACGTTTCGAGACAAATTGGAGATTTATTGCGCATTCTGGCAATGATTTTGCTATGAATACTACCGTCAACGAGCGTTCAAAACTTGGCGGTATTGGTTTCATGTGGAAAGACATCTTGCAGAAGAACGTTGAATGTGGTGGTTTCCACGTGCAGTTGGGTTTAGGTGATCAAATCTATGGTGATAGACTATGGAAGGAAGTTCCTTTGCTGAAGCAATGGCTTGCTATGAGTGGCAAAGAAAATCGAAGAAGTGCGGCATGGACAGCGAGACATGAGGAGGACGTCTCGCATGCTTACTTCCATTACTATACTAGTCATTTTGACCAACCATACTTAAGGGAGGCATTTGCTCAAATTCCTCACATACTACAGATTGATGACCATGACATGTAAGTTTTCGAAAATGTTTTTCTTCACTTTTACTGTCACTAACACTTTTAAGTTTTGATGGTTATGGCTCTTATCCAGAATACATGCAAAATTCCAACATGTTCAAAAATATTGGTCGTATCGGTATTGAGATGTATCTCCTCTTTCAGCACCACACCACCGTTGACATTCTTCGAAATGTTAGCACCGATATCGATTTATTTACAATTACCGGAACTGGCTGGCACTTTGTCAAGTATCTGGGACCTTCCGTTGTTGTGGTAGGCCCAGATTGTCGATCAGAACGTACTCAACGCCAAGTTCTCGCTGGTCCTACCTACCAAGGCATTTTCCCTAAAGTAGCCACTTTACCTCCGAGTGTACAACACTGCATATGGATGATATCGGTCCCTGTGGTATATCCACGACTCGAAGCCGTAGAAAGTCTCGCACATACCATGGCCACAGGTAAGAAAGCTGTGAATAGCACGTATAACTTGCTCGGAAAAGTCACAAGTTCCGTGGCTGGAGTAGTGGGAGGTAAAGAAGCCGTGGCAACTGGCTTTTCTCATGTTAAGAAGGCAGTTGGCAAGTCGGGTTTGATGGGAGGTGTGCTTAACACATTTGGTGATATTGATATTGCGGATGAGTTGAGAGATATGTGGACACACGAGAGTAAAGATTTGGAACGAACATATTTAATACGGACTCTGCAAGGAATTGCTCATCAGAAGGGTATTAGGATGACATTCCTATCTGGCGGTAAGTTATCTATGCATCTATTACAGAAGTATAATTTGCTGACTTGTTCCTAGACGTAAATTGTTGCGGTGCAGGACTTGTCCACGATCCTTCTCACCCCTCTGACCACAAGACCATGTATCAAATCATCGCATCTGCAGTTGTCGCCGCTCCGCCTCCATCATATGTTCTCAAGATGCTTCACAACAATAAACCACTTTACGTTCCTCAAAATGGTGTCAAAACAACAAATCAAATCAGCGATACCAAAGAAGACATGATGGAGATATTCCAGACAGACACCAATGGGGGACCACGGGATATGAAGAAGTTAATGGGAAGGAGAAATTACGTAGCGTTTGTTGCTTTCGATCCAGATTCAATGATGGGCGGCATGAGTGCAAATGGAAGTATGCACAGTGGAAACGCTGGGTTGGCAAAGTTGAGTCTGGCTGTTGATTTTGTGGTGCAAGGGGATGGAGGATTCAGCCCACCTACTAAATATGGCCCTGTTATTGTACCAAGTTTGGAGTTTGGCAGATAATGTGAGGAAGAGGAAGGATTGGATCGGTTTGCGATTTGCAATATGCAGAAGAGGTATCAGAAACGCGGTGCAGTTAATGAGATACTCTCGTGACGATTGCGATCTTGATATATATTTATTGGATAGTCGAATAGAGGTTGTCTTTTGTACTGTATTATATTCACTATTCACCTCGAAAGCTTTTAGAATTAAATATCCTCGGAAAGAAATCTTGAATTTCAGAGCATATATTCGCAAGATCTCTTCAATCTGTGTACAATCAAATTGTGGTCATTAGATGTCTCGAGACTGTCTACTCGTGTAGATCAAACGATAGTAAATGATAATGATACTCGACGAGTGGAGCCAAGGGTTCTCGCTAGATCAATATCTTAATCAGCTTATATCCCTGTCAGACTATGCCCCTCATTCCCCCTTCTAGTAAAACAGCCAGACCGCCAAAGTGTCAACTTTCTAAACTCAATCCTTCACTTCCTTCCAATTTCACTTCTCTCGTTCATTTTTCAATTTTACCTTCAAACAAAACATTTCAAAATGTCAGACGCCATAATTGCCAGTTTCCCCCCTCTCGCGGAGCGACCCATCAAAAACACCATCTGTCTTTTCGATGTTGATGGAACTCTCTCTCCTGCGCGGCTAGTATGTTACTCCCAACTTCTCAACGCCTTTCACTATGCCTCAACTAACATTCAAAACTATAGTCTGCCTCCGCAGAAATGCTCAATCTCCTTGCCGCCCTCCGCCAAAAATGCGCCGTCGGTTATGTAGGTGGCAGCGACATGGCCAAGCAACAAGAACAACTCGGCACTGCTGAGATCCCCGTTACCTCCATCTTCGATTTCTGCTTCGCCGAAAACGGTCTCACAGCTTTCAAGAGCGGTGTTCCCCTTCAATCGAATAGCTTCATCAAATGGATTGGGGAGTCCCAATACAAAGAGTTGGTCAGATTCATCTTGCATTATGTTGCGGATTTGGATATCCCAGTGAAGAGAGGAACATTTATCGAATTCAGAAATGGCATGATCAATGTTAGCCCAATTGGTAGAAATGCGAGTGTTGTGGAGAGAAATGAGTATGAGGTCTATGATAAGGAACATCATATCAGAGAGAAATTCATCGAGGCCTTGAGGGAAAAGTTTACTGGTCTGGACTTGACGTGAGTTTTTTGATCGCTCGGAAAATTAATGATGGGCTATACTAATAACTTGCGATGCAGTTACTCAATCGGTGGTCAAATTTCTTTCGACGTCTTCCCTACTGGCTGGGACAAGACATACTGTCTCCAACATCTTGAGAATGACGCAAAGCGCCCAGGTGGTATTGAATACACTACTATTCATTTCTTTGGAGATAAGACATACAAGGGAGGAAACGACTACGAGATTTATGAGGACCCCAGGACAATTGGTCACAGTGTGAAGAATCCAGATGATACCATGAGAGATATTAGACAGCTTTTCGACCTTTAGGTATATGGCATTTGCTGTAACGAGGTATAGATATTAATTTCAAGGGGAAATAGGACAAAATTTATATTCATCTATTCCAAGCCCGATCTTGATATCCGATGATTACCTCTCGCGCGAACAGCAAAGCATTTTTGGAGGCTAACGTGGAGTGGATTGACAATCTCTAGACTATATATTCGACACGATATTGACTATTTTTCTCCTATTGGAAAAGAAAATCCATAAAGCTAATGATCTAAATGATTGTATAAGATAAGAGGGGAATAACAAGATTATCCCCCTCGGGGATAACACAAGTTGCATTATTTCCCGAATCATATGAACAATCCATTTCAAACTCTAGATTTCCATAGCCTTGAATAACGCTTCCATTCGTACAAGCCCACTGATGATTCGGCTCATAATAAATCGTTCCTTTGTTTGGCGAACCGTCACTATGGGGATTGCTATCGCCGATGAAGGAAACTCGATACGCTACTCCCGCACAGAAAACAACTCCATTGCCGACGTCGTAGCGACGAAATCCAGCTGGGTTAGTCTGCTCGCATCGGTTGTATTCGTCAGGAGTGTTGATACCGATTTTTACATCGTCCGGAGGGCCGAAACCAGCGGGTTGCAAGGGAAGACCGGTGTAACAGCCGTTTATGCCGCATTCATCGCAGGGACCGAGATTGCCATCACAGCCTACGAGGCCGTCAGAGGTAGAGTTGACACATACGTTGGCTGGAGAGATTCTTAGCTTGGATTTTATAGGATGGATTTGGGGAGTGGCATGGAAATGAGGAGGAAATAAGTACTTACGAACGTTCACTTGGTTAACGCAATCTAAATTTTGCGTGGAATTAAACCAGACGAAACTCGTCACCTCCCAGGTAGGTATGACGTCGCATTCTGGGGGTGGGGTGACAGATTGACGAGTTTGGAGATGGGAGGTGAGGGGCGTGCATATTGCTGTGCGTAGAAAGAGGAATATCAGGGGGGCGGTGAATTTTGTTAACATTTTGATGACTTTGAGAGTTTGAGTGAGATTGATTGTCTTTTTAGTCAAGCAAACGTTGTTATGTTGATTTAGCAATGGGAAAGTAGACGAGTATTAGTAGTACATGAGTAGTTCCTGATTCACAAAATTCATGAATATCATAGTCTGTAAGTGGATATGATGACAGAGGGGTACATTGACAACACGAAGATCGAAAATTCTTCAGTAGAACAGCCTGAATGGCTGGAATCGGTCATGCCCAATGAGAATGCCATCATCTTCGTATATCTGCAGCGAGGATCTTCCGGATGTCATCCCAGGTGGATTTTTCGGGTAAGGCTTGGCAGATTTCGCCAGCTGAAATGGGCTCGCCCATACCGATATACGAAATGCGCATGGACAACCTGGACGCAAAATTTTACGTTATGTGATTACTGTGCATGGTCTTTGCGAGCCAAGCCATTCCTTCCGGATTATCAAGCGCGTCATAAATCGGGTATCGCGAATGGTAAATCGAGAACTTTTCTCTGCTTCGCCGGCCGGTTCGTGTTCAAGGCGGGGGAGTGATGTGTTGGGTAAGTGAGTACGTGAAAACCCCGGCCTCGAGAACCGCGTTTTCGTATACGTACGCCACTGGTGGACTGGTGCATCGTACGAGTACGCGATAAATCTAGAGTTAGAGTGGTTCTGGATGGAAGGGGGATGTTGGGTTGCTAGAGCATAGTCTGCTCTTGAAATTTCTGTTCTGTGAAGAATGGTAGCTGGCATGCCATTCATTACTTGCGTTGTCAGCTGTAACGTTACACGCGACTTCTGCAAATCTTCCAATATTTAATTGCCTACAGCTCAGTTCTGTAGAGTCAGAAGGTGCGCTGGTTAGAAAGGCTGGTTGGGGATTGTGACATGGCAGATTTTTGGAGAGCTAGATCAATGGTATCTGGATGGTCTGCTTGACGTACGTCTGTATATGTCGATGTTACGGCGGCGATTATGCGGACCTCTTGATTCGTCTCTAGTGCACGCTTGTGTGAGAATATAATTGTCTGACAGTGCGTGGATACTGGAATACGCTTGGAGCAGTGTGGTGAGATAGGGGTTTCTAGGGAATCTCTCGATCACTTGTGCATTTTTACGTGCTAGAGGGACCCTGTCGAGATAATGTATTGAGAACTGTAGGCGGGAGATTGTATCAGGTGAGATTGAAGCGATTGGAGGTATTGATCAAGAAGCGTGCGGGATGAATATTCCCTGCAAAATGCCTGGAGGACTTTGAAAGTTCACATTCTATTAATGGCAGTGGTCAGTAGCGACAACAATTGTTGTCGATGAGAAAGTCACTTATATGCGTTTTAGTCGTTTGATTTCTTGAACTTTCAAATGACATTCTTCTCTCATATCTCGGAAATGGATGGATAACTTTTTCCGTCGCTTTTGGTATGGAGAATGTGCAGCTGTGTGCTCACTCTTCTTTATTAAAGCTTTGTTTGTGAATCGATATTTGGAAGTATTCTTTCGGCAATTGGCTATACAGTTGGTGAGAGAACGCATCCAACGAACGCCCAGTTGAAAAAATGCATCGACTTAAGCCCTCGCTTTGTCAGAGGAAGTTCTCTCGAGCCATATGATCGTGGGGCTTTGTATATCTATGACGATGATATTTGGAGCTTAAGAATCCTTCATAGTTTGGATAGAGATCATTTGTAAATTGTCACCGCAGAGTGTCGCTTCTTCATTGCCTCAAGTTTCGATGCAAGGACAAGCGATATCTTAACTTTACCACATAACTTAACTCGATTGAAAAAATGACACCACGCTTTCCATCTACTTCGGCGTTTCCAAGAGGTAAGGAAGCTTTCTCATTGTTTGAAAGTTCCATAATGAGCGCATGAAACAACGCCTTATTAATACTAGTAAGAATAGATGCACTTCATCCAAACACTTCCTGGACCCTAAACACAATCTCCTATAAACTTTGCACTTTCATGGGCAGAGGGTTCCTAGACAATCTTGTCATTCTGCACTAATTTCCCACCAAGTCTATGTATCAGTTTGCCAGCTGGAGTAAGTTGCTTGCGTCTTAGATGACACTCGTCAATTTCTGTCTGTCAAAGCATGACAAGTAGGTCTTTATCTCCCGTGGAAATCAAAACAAATGATTGACATATATAAGGTTTCCAAACCTAAGTGAGCAGATTACCGATAGTTATATTGGTAATATTGTATAACATGCCCCGGAATAATAGAAACGTAAGACAAAAAGCATTTTAATTTGTATGGAACTCAAGTCAATTCCGCTCACCATCACTAGAAGGCTTATTGCAATACGCCAGACTGTGCCATCAACATACTGCCAAACGTCAAAATGAAAATGACACACTCACGCCTCCTCACATGATAGGGCACTCACATGATCACACCCTCCTGCATACCTCCGCTTCTCATCGCTCCAGTCCGATCAAAACCAATTGTTGCACATCTCATCGTTTGAACCCGATCAGACCTCCCCCAAAACCATTTGTTGCACATCTGAATTTCGCCTTCGACCGCCGTGGCTTTCCTCATCCATGTACTCACGGCGAAGTCGATACGCATATTCACGCATTTATTCAAGTGCATCGATCTATCAAACGAAAGAAGAACACTCAACCCCTATCAGATTATCCTGTAATCCCCAAGCGCGAAGTCTGAATCTTAAGAGTATGTATTTCATCTCTCAAAGAGATATGATTGGATGGATAAACTCAGTCGATAAATGCTAGTCTTTGCAGTAGTCAAAATGTTCCAGATCGTACGATATGCAACAGTTTGGTGAATGTGGAATGTGGAATGTGGAAGGTGGGTGCGTGGTTGCATGGGTGTATGCAAGTATGCGGCGGGAAGGTGCAGGCTGGTGTAACGATGGCGATTGGCTGGGCAGTTGGCTGGTGTGGTGATGGATGCATCGCATCTGTCGAGTAGATTCAGGAGTTGATGTCGAATACGAAATCTAGTTGGAGATTTTTCGGCGGTTGTGAATATAACATGGAGGGCAGTACATACAAATGGATGCATTTCATTTTTTCCCGATATTCGAACTCTACCTTTTGTTTATGTTTGTTATCGATAGAGATCTGTGTTAATTGTGGCTGTTGACGCTCTATGGCCGGCGTCAGAATGAATTCTCATTGCTCTGAATCGTAAGCTAGATTATCTTTCCATCTCTCCATTACTTCCTTAGTTATCATTAAAGAGAACGAGATTCTACCAGGCAATTTCGAGAGAAAAAGATCAATTGAGCACTTTAGCAACTCATGCAGTCAACCGAGACGTTCATCCCCGAAGGCGACGCATCCTAAACTCAACCGTATCAGACGCTGCAGTTCGATCATCGGGAGCTTTTGTCGTCACTGATATTGTGTACACTTTATTGTGTAGATCTGAAGAAGCCAGACGCGACATCATAGGCGAAGGATCTCCAGACTTTGGATAGGGGAGGGGGAATCGAAATGTTTACCAGTTAAAAAGATGCCTACGTCGCGAAGAGGGAGGGGTCAATGATTCAACTCAAGAAGCAAACACCTTGATATCATATTGATCTTGTAATCATCTCAGCTGCTGATACACACCTTTAGGTAGCCTCCAGCTTAAACAAGTAGATAATACTACGATCTGAATCTAGATCGTGATTGCAGAATTACATGTTTAAGCTCACCATAAAGCCTGTGTTCCAAATCTCTTACGCTTGAATATATACTCGCAAGTGAGATATATCGCAATCGCTCGGTTGAAAATGCAGACAGTTGTGATTGGAAAGTATCGTGCAACCACATCAGCTGTGCTAGAACATTGGGTATATTATTAGAAGACCGAGCAGGGCATTTCTGACATCATCTTATTTCCGCGGAAAGACGTACTTTATTGGTATGTAAAGCAAGTCACTTGGCGGACGTCTAGAGTCGATTTGACAAGGCCATATCTCGAGCTTTTAAGACTCGACTGTGTTACTTCTAGTATGATAGCCTAAATATCGAGAGGCAGAGTGGTGCATGTATTGGAGGTAAGAGCGTTGTTTCCAAAGCTTCTTTTGTATAACGTACCAATAATGCACACAAACATGTTCAGTTTAAGCATGACCAAGTCTGGGGATTCATTCGGAAGAGAAAGAATGCACTTGAAAAGCTTGCAAGCATCGATCACTCGATATTGTATAGCTTTGATTCAAAGATTGGATGACTGTGGCAAAACAAGCAATCTCATTATGTTTGTCTCATGGTTTATTGATATTTCACAATCGCAGCAGATAGTTCGAAACTCGTGTTCCCATTATTCCCTAATTTCTCACTCAAGATTTTCATACCTCAATCTAACTCTGATACGCCAACGCGCTTCTCATTTTGAAATATTCTCCTACCACGATTGCTTCGTATTTCCTTTTCTCTCCCTCCTGTGCACATTCCTCGAGAACTTCTATCGATTTATCCGTATCTGGCCCGCAGAAATATGGGATCGAATAACGCGCTTGTGTCATTCTTACTCCTTCCTCGGTGATTGTGTAGCGAGATGTTGAGGGGGGAGTTGAACGCGATGGAGTGAGGATTTGAGATCATCTGTATACATTAATATGTTGGAAATTATACACCATACGATAAGAGTATAGGAAATGGAGAGAGAGAGAAATGAAGAAGGGATGAAATACCATTAGTCCATCTCATCAGTAGATCACCTATATTCATTACAATAGCATTCGGAACCGGATCTGCCCTGATGAATTCACCAGGTTTCTTCGGGTGCTCGATTTCCAATCCTCCGCACTCGTCTTGAAATACCATGGTGATACTTCCAAAATCGGTGTGGGCTGGTAGTCTTACCGCAAGTCCGGTTTCGATTTCAGAGGCGGGAATGGGAGGATAGTGAAGGAGTCGTAGTTGGTTAGTATGCCCGGAATGGAAATCCGCGAGTAAGGAGGGAGTTTGAAGCTCTAGTCCTGTACCTAGGGCTAGGAGAATTGTTTGAGCTGTAGTAGAGAGACGGTGGTAGAAGGATTGCATGAAGCAGTGGAAATTTGGGAGTGTGGATTCGGGAAGCCAGATGTTTGGCTGGGAGGGATTTTTCTCGGAGCCGATTTCATAACTTTCCTGTGAGGATGCTGTTAGTTCACCTTGACCAAAGCCGATTTGGGTGAGCGTCTTTTGTAGTTGCAGCTTGTGATAGAGTAAGATCAGAAAGGTAAGAGGGTATCCCAAATGATCAAACAAACTCACTTTACAATCCTTCACTCCCCTCATTTTCTCCCCCAACTCAGTACTATCACTAATAACCTGATATACTTTCTCCAAGCCCGGATACGAGTATCCTCTATGGACACTTGGACCGGGTGGATGCGGCGCTTGCATTTTTGCCTCGTGTGAAAGAGCGAAAAGCTGTTTCGTCATTGCGAAAGCTTCTTCGAGTAATGAGGAGGGGATATCATGGTTTATGATGTATACAAAACCGAAATGACGACAAGCATTGACGAGGGCTTTTGCAGTTTCGAGACGAGATGTTGGAGATGCAGGATATAAGAAGGGGGTAAAGTCGACAATGGGAATTGCGGAGGTGGAATTGGACGCCATGTTGAGGAGTTGTTTAAATAGCTTTGAATGTTGAAGTAGTTTCAAACATTGGAAGTATTTCGGATCGGAAATAACATATCTGATGATATTATCGTCAGGAATTCGAAATAGGAATCTTTAACTAGACTGCAGTCCGGAATTTTGGAAACACTGTCAGCAAGAACTATCTTATGAGAAGTGAAACGGAATCGTAAATGACGGTTGGAACAGGTGAGATATAGTATTCAATGAAGGAGGTAATAAATCGTGACGGAGTCCACACACAGTATAGTCTCTGCTATCTTTCGAAGCAAAAATTTGGAGTATGGCACCAGCTTCGCAATACCGATATGTACACCTAGCGAGCGACTGATTACACAGTGTTACCACACTAGCATATCCTGAAACCATCAGCTTGTTGAGCCAATACACATCGACCATTCTTCGATCTCCCTTGAATAGAATTGAACAACATGCGAAAGGCTGACAAATCCAAACAATTGTCCTACTATACTAGATGTATCTCGTCACTCCGCCGAGAATGAATGAGGGGTTGGGTCTGGGGTCGTACGTCGTTGACCGTTGATGTGAGTGTGCATATGTTTAGTCAGCACTGTGAAACCCTCGGCATATGCCAGTCAATATGAACTAAAGTTATTGCCTTATAGCAGTTTTTATTGGTCAGGTTTCGGGTTTGAAGGACGGTACATGGAAATTACTGGTTTGGGTATGTGTTGAGCAACATGTACACTTGCCTTCGATGTCTCTTCCTTGAACTCTAAAAACACCCCTTTCTAAAGTATTCCCAACAAGAAATTGTTTCTAGATCGATATCAGTGCTATCGTTTACCTGACCTTCAATAAATCATTCCTGCAATAATCTATCACTGGACACTACACACAATTCGAGTTATATGGGCGGTGTGAATTGCTTAGACACGCATGCCCACTGACTTACCGTGTACATTCTGGTACAGTAATATTTCCACCGTATAGAGAGCCTCTTCTCAAGGATAAAGAAACACCACCGTCAACTGGGAGCGTTCATATGGTGCTGTACTCAGCTAGTAGCATCCCAGTCTCACATGTAACTGCAAAGAGTGAATAACTACGGTGAGTCAGGTGCTGCAGACTGCAATTTCCGACCTAGCCTCGCTTTTCTTTTCACTCATCAATATTTCTCGAGGTTTTCAGAGAAACCACCCTTCCACAACAGAAACAACTACATCCATCCCTCGGTCAAATTATGATCAACAGACAGATTTATAACGGCAACGTTCTAACGCAAGCAGCTTATTTGAATGGGCATCTTGACTCTCGTGAAATGCAACTCGAAATTTGAGATAAGTTCTTTCGGAGCAGGCAGCTTAGTTCCAATCTGCTAGTAAGCCTATGAGAGATTCATATTGGAAGTACATGAAATTTTTAGACCCAGCTACTTCTAGCCTCACGGAACCGCATTGCCAGTAGAGCAGAAGAGATGAAAAAGAAGCGATCGAGTAACATGCATCATCCTATGAGAGATGTAATAGAAAAATGGGATGAAGGACTTCGCGAAGAACAAGAGTCAGATAAAGATAAAATGGGAGCAGACTCCTTAATAGGTATGTAGGAAACAATGGAGTCTGCGACTTGAATGAAATGATAGGAGGCACTTGCATGATTTACACTCAAACGAGGTGAGGGAGGACAAATTAGAGGAGGTCATGAAGCATGATGAATAATATCGACCCGAACTCTTCGAGAAAAATAGAAAGAAAAAAGCTGACAGTTAACGCGAGTATTCAGGAGGCTATCGATACTTCGAGTTCCTCTTTGGTCTCTCGTTTTTCCCACAACTCGGATGCCTTCCTTCCAGAATTCATTTCATCCATTGATGCAGTACAAGGATTTTGATCCCCAACTTCGCATTCTCTTCAGGACAGCCTCACCTGCACCCCAGAAGCGTGGGGGTGCTGCCCAGCAGGCAATACGTATGAAACTATCCCAATAAAGCTTTCTTCATGCTTCCCAGTATTCCAGCCGCATCAAGATATATGAATAGAAACAATAGAGATGAAATCCATCTAGGCATTCAAAAGCGAAATATGTACGAAACTTATGCCTTCCTTTCATTAGTATAAACTACAAAATCAATGTCGGGAGATTCCGGCTCGTGCGAGAAAAAAAAGGTAACCAGAAGCATTGACCCCCATACATACAAATTCACTCCACCCATCTCCTCGCTTACTTCTTCGCTTTAAGTATTTTTCTAGAACGTACAGGAACGCCCCCCCGTCTAATCTAAATATGTACTGCCGAAAAGCGGAGCTTGCAATGACCCATCGAGCGAGCCGAGTGAGCTAATTCTTAGTCAATCTTTAGTTTAAAGATAACAGGAACGATAAAGACATCCACACATGTGATAGGTTGAAAGAGATGTCAAGGCTTTTTGTCATGCGGGATTCCATTGGGTGGTTTCAACGACGATAAGGCTAATGAGTTCCAGGGGCAGAAACTAGATGTTTTCAGGTTAGGAAGCGTAGCTTATCTGGAGTAAAAGATAAGAGGTTTATTGATTATTTGTTGATAATTTTGAGAGGTCAAAGGGGAGATTTTGAGAGATTGGAGATTGGGGGACTGATTGATGTCTTAGGAGAGGAGAGAATAGAAGAATACGTCATGATGGGAGAAGATGTAATTTCAGCTTGAAACTGGGCTATGTATGATATATCTGGGCAGATTGATTGTTTGGAGCAGAATTGGTAAATCTTACGAGTTGTTGCATAGAAATCGAAGATAGGCGAAGATGAAGGGGTAAGTGAAGATACTCACACAATGATATATCACCGTTGCATTGGGACCGAAAAAAAAGCAACGGAAAAAGCCTTAAGAAGTACAAAGAAAAATTTGATGTCCATGAGCATACCATTCTATGCAATACCAGTAGCCACAGACTACCAAGTAGCAAGATAGGCACATAGGGTACCTTTTTTGCGGGCGCCACACGCGGGGGGGCAGACAAGCATGTTGACGACAAGCTGGGGAGAGGAAAGGATGTGAGAGTGTGGGTGAGGAGCGAAATCGGGGGAAGATTGTTCTGGATATTGAATTCTTTCGTATGAATGATCAGCTGAGATGGAATCCTTTGATCAAAAAGAAAAAGAAAGAAAAGAAGACAAGTCACTCCTGACACTCACGCGGGAATCAGACTTTTTAAATATGACATTGGGCTTTGATATCAACCTGTCTCTCAAACATAGTGAACCAGTCAATGCAATTATCATCAGATCGTATCAAATCAGATAATCAATCCTCCAAACTCAAACCAAAAACATGTCTCTGTCATTCGCGCCCTGTCTCGAGCGTGCTTACCTACTTTTCGGAGATATCCCTACGACCCGCATGAATACATAGCTCCTTTACTAAAGTATTCAATTCTCGTGCGTCAACATGGGCTATGCTCGTCAAGGATATGTACCCCATAATTGAAGGTTGGGAAGTCGTGGATCTGTAATTTCTGTAATTTCAGTAAATGGGTGATATCGGAAGGTAGAGAGGATTAATGTGGTCGAGAAAATGACTACCAATCTCCGTGCAGATGTGAAGATAATAATTTGTGAAAAATTCACATGTGTTGGGAGACCTTGAAGTACCAGATTAGATGAAAATGGAAATAGAAGCAGAAATCGCAATAGCCTCATTTCTCTTTCTTGATGAAACTTGTAAGCCTCAAGTATTGATTAGACTTTCAGCCATAATCGTGGGATGTGTATCTTCGTATCATATGCTGCCTGACAATTGCGATTTCGGGCATGACATGATTCGATATGCTCAAAGATCTAATCAGAAACTATGCATTGACTGGCTTACATTTTGGGATTTGGGGGAATCAAGATACACATATAATTGACCAATGATATGTGATATCATATCTTCAGATGTCATTTGTGTCACAAACATCTACATGTCTCACGACCTTCATATCTCTTGGCCCATAGTACGAAATTCGAATCTGGAGCCGTTAATTTTCCCGAGTCCTTTTTAATTGTGCTTCAAGCCGCGCATGGGATAAATGAGTCCACCTCTCACACGAACATCCCACGTCGAATCCAGAGACATGGGTACGGAGCAAGAAACTAAACTGGGTAAACTCTCGGCCCGTCGATCTCAAAAGATCTGCCTAGTACAGTGTACTGTTGCTTGTAGACTCGTAGACCTCATCCGAATTCGCGTAAAGAATGAAAATGGTCTTCCCTGCGAGCTGATCAATATTTGGATGTGATTGGCATATTTGGACGGATCGCTTGTGGTGAAACTACCGTTCAGATGTATTTTGCTAGACGGAATAACCGACAGATAGATCCTTTGGGTCAGAGTACCTAGGCCGCTACGTATACTGTAAACAGTGTTGAATGGATGGATGGTTGGATGCTCGAACTTTGAGTAAAGTTGGTATAATTATCCGATCTCTTGGTACATATCCCTCCCTGTCCACAACATGGATGCATGGCTTGGTATTTGTGGTTTCTCGAAGATGCTTGTCCAAGGCGTTCCTCATCCGTAAATGTAAATGTATGTGGATATCATAACTATAAGGTTTTATAGCTGCCACTTGCCATGCGGACTAGAATTCCCATGTTCCGTATTTTTAAAGCGGAAGAGCTCCACCATCTTAGTTGAAAAGTACTAAAGGAAAGAACAGTCCCGATTTCTAGCGATTCTCTCGGATTCCATTATTCGAGATTGATTTCTTTAATCTTTTGGATTTGGGATTGTTTGATTGTTTTCCAACTTTGTCCGGTCTTTCTCATTCACCATCTACCTAGCTGGTATCGAGGATATTCTTGATACTCAACTCTGCTATCAATCTACCTCTCAATTATCACCGGATTAGGTAGTGAGACAACATCAATAGTTGTAAAACTACCCAAACCACCAATTCTTTCTCAGTTGTAACCAAAACAACCCCTTTATAATTCGAATATCAATCGTATTCTCCTACTTTTTCGAAATCGCCAACATCCATCCTGGTCCAACGA